TTACTGTAAGTTAAATTTAGCTACCACATGTCGTAGACAGCAGAATTGTTCAGAGTTTTTTGGAGTTAATCGAAGAAGTTCGCAGCAGTGATTTTAGTGTTTTGCAACTTATGTTGGACAGTGAATATAAATTTGGACTCAGATCTGGTTTGGAGTCTGCAGACGTCAAGGTGAAAAAACTAGAGCTAGAAATCAATAAATCTAAGTTAATCATATGTAACCTGACACAAGAGCGGTTCATATTGAAGGCGCAGTTGGAAGACACAAAAAAACATTTACAAGCGACAATGGCGATGAACGATTCCAGTTTCAGGTTTTCAAAATCACTGAATTTTGCTCCAGAACCACATTTTTGTTCGTTGTCGACACGAGCGAGTGTTCAAATTTCTTCAAATGAGTACGAGTCTGATAATAATTAAAATGTAATGTGTGACTAAAATTTATAAAGTGTACGTGCTACTCTATCTGCCATAGAAAAAGAGAACGAGCTACCAGTCACGTTTTTGTTTTAAAAAAAATAAATTTAGAGATGTTTTATATTTTTTAGGAAACCAAATTAAGTGTACAGAAATTTATATTAATTTATACACTCAACGCTATTTTTTGTGTTATTAAAATAAACTAAAGTCATCACAATGTCTCTAACGACTTTTTGTTAGATCTTTACGCTGCTTTTTAGCCTGACAATACCAAAAGTTATTTGTTAAACTTGATGCAGCTGTTTTCTTATCTCAATACGTTTACTCTGTATCTGTTCAGATATGTTTTTTGCGTTAGCTTTAGTTTTATAACGGCGGGGATATCGCTGTTTTTAAGCTATATTGTTCTGAGAATATTTGTTATTATTTTAATTCCTAATCTGCTGTATTTTGACCATTTAAATTTCAACGTCTACAGATATAGAGAACTGCGACACCCGTTTTATATCGTGGAAATACCAGATAATATGATTGTTCCAGAGCTCAGAGCGGTACACAGCTGCTTTAACGCAGCCATTCCAAGCGATGAATGTGTCGACATAATTAATAATTACTATCAGACAATCAACAAGCTTGGACTCACTCAATACAGTACTGATTCGCTGCACATAATAGATAGAAACAACCAGCTACAACGCAGTAAAATTACATGGCTTGAATTAGATCAGAAGAGTATAGATTCTTGGAGATATGAAACTATTGAATTTTTAGCCAAGTTTTACAAAGAACCTACTATAAACACCTACAACATATCATTATATTGTTATTCTGAAGAAGGTAACTTAAAAGGCTTTACGCAATTGTCTGTACAAAATAACTATAATAGTGCGTTTCACAAGCATTTTTGCGCCACCCTAAAAGATGTAACGCAAATGATGTTTTCGTTTCTACCTATCGACATATTCATCAGTTCACTTTTAAACAGGGGCTGGTGCAAAAACGTTGTCACACATAGCCTTGTTTTAGAGTCAAACATTATCAAACCCAAAAACATTAAAGATAAAATAATCCAGTATTTACTTGAACTTTTTATCAATGAAGAACGAACAATTCTCAAAAAAATAAATAAACCTTGTGTCACGTACGACACTAAATTTATAAAGGTTTTAGCACCGAAAAACACAATAGAAATGTTGATTAAATACAAACAACATTCTGAAGGCTTTTCGAAGTTTACGCAAAACTACCCTTATAGCTTCCCATTCGCTATTAGCGTTATAATATCAATATTTGTCTTTTGGCTAAGCTGTATTTACTGTGTCTCAGTTGTGTTATCCAAGCCTACGCCATACAAAACACGAAAGTTTAAACCAAACAAAAAAGACACTTAGCTATTCTTTTTTTGTCTTAATCTACTCAAAGGCTTAAGTCGCTTTTTTTCTTTAATTTGCTTATTAACCTGAACTACAGGTTTCACTGAGCTATTAATTACATTAGAAGGTTTACCTACCACTTCATTATTAAAATTGTCGTCAGTTTCTTTTTTCGACGAAGCATCTACTGGCTTTATTACGTCTAAAGTAGCGTCTTCTTTTTTTATATCTATATTTTCATTTAGTAAAATATCAAACCATTTCGATTCAATTTTCTGTATTTCTTCGTTTTTAATGACTTTGTTTTCATTTTCTGTAAACCACCAGTCACCCTTTTCAAATATGTTTTTATATTTTTTTGTTCCTATTCGCAAGGATTGACCTAGGTAAGATTCTCTTTCAAAAATTTTTTTGTTAGAAATCTCACTCCAATCGACGTTTTGCTTTTTCATGAACTACTCAATGACTATTTTCCACATTAGCAAGCAATCATATCTTTTTCATAATTATTTTCAAACCAAAGCGTTAATAAATAATTAGCTAAATTTAAAATATTAACGCCAATCAAATTAGAATTTTTAATGAATAATCGGATTGCAGGAGAGTTAGGAGCTACGTACACGTTTTCATATTTGAATAACTTGTTAAAAACAACTTTTTTCAATTTTAGAAAAGGCTTAAATATCAGGGATTCTTTCCAACTAGCTGAACTAGATGCAAAGAAATCGGCCATCACGGAACTTACCAATTCACTCGTTTTTAAAATTGTATCGTTAAATTCTGAAAATTCAAGCTGGAGTAAAGATCAAATTTTACAATCGCTTACGTATGTGGTCACAAACATAAATAAATCCAACCTAGACATGCGTAAATATATAAAAACAGTAGGTAAAAACTCTTTAAAAGAGATAAGTAAGTACTTATTAAGATCCCCGCCTCCTACAGCTCGAGAATATTATTTTAAAACAAATGTTTAACGAATTACAATTAGAAGTGTTTGTACAGCTCAATTAGCATATTAATTTTTGTTGTGTCAATCGATGTCACACAATTATTTTCTTCTTTACTTAAATGAAAAAGCAAGTTACTAATAAAGCCTTTTATTGAGGATCGCGTTTTTTCTGGAATATCCGTGTATGTTTTCAATTTACTTAGGTCAAGCTGCAACAGTTTACTTACGGTTTGAGCATGTCTAGATAAATTGGCAAGAAAACGTGCTGCAAGTAAAGGAACGTTACCCCACGGCGGAGAGATCAAGCAATACACCTGATTAACGGTACTTAAAAATGTATCCGTAAAAAAAAATATTTCAAAAACGTCATCACTCAAAACCATAATTGTCATAACATCAAGAAACGGTAGTATTTGGCTACGGTCCATTTTTGTGAGATAGTTGTTCTTGCTGAAGAAAGCATCAATTAGACACGTGTTGTAACGCTTTGCACTTAGTTTTTGTTTAGGATTTTCCCTAACGTCTTGAGCCAATGAGACAAGCCTTCTACGATTATTTACGTCAATAATATCGGACATTTTTTCTATTACTTCACAAGCCTTACAGAATGAATTTATATTAAGGAAACTAACTGTTGAGTTAATTTGTATTTTTGCTTGTTCTAAAACGGTCGGTTTGGTCGGGACGCTTAATGAAGCTTCAGGTAGCTCGTCAGAATGTATTTTAGATTTTTGAGCTTTTGTCTGACGAATAAAATCTAATATTTCAGAAAAGTGATCCAAAGGTACATTATATAATTTGCAAAATTTTTCTGTTACAATTGTTTCATTATCAAATGAGTTAAAAGGAAGTTTTACATAGCTTCTGTCCGGAAGTTCTACTTGAGCAACGAATTCATATGTTCCTTGTTCAAATACATCATCCCCTTCATAAAACTCTTGATTTTTATCCATAACGCACCCGTCTGACTCATCCATATCACCAACAACATCCCAGCCTGTGCCATTCCAACTGCAGATTTTAATCACTTCGTTTTCAAAATCATTAAACATCATCATTTTATTTATTTGGCTTCCAACTTTCTTATCACGGTCGTTAAATAGCGGCAACAAGTTTCTTGAAATTTTTATTCGGTTTTTGTTATACTTCGAAACGAATGCTTTTACCTCTGAGTCCGGTAGAGCATCAATTACATTGTTTGACAAAGTAAATATTAAACCTTTCTCGTTACCACAAGCTAGCTTATAGTGGTCGCCATTGTCAAATAACGGTACTATTGACCAGGTTGTTCCAGGAACCTCTAGTATTGTTTTAAGATCGTCAACGCAAATGACAATCTTCAAGTCCTTAGTCACCTCGATTTTTAAATGCATTATTTCATACTCAGTAGAGTAAATTATTTCGTATTGTAATTGATTTGTAGAACATTTTCTAATGTGGAAAGCGTAAATAAAATATTTTGAACCAAAAATTTTACCAAGCGATTCTTTAGTCTCATAATTAACAAAGCTAAAAAATCCATCGTTTGAACAAGTACACACAATAGGCGTGTCAGCTAGATGTTTTATCGACCTAATAATATCGTCATTTACATTTTTCACAACAGATATTTCTCGATTCGGCTTTTCACATACAATAGACCCTTTTTGGCTACCGTACAGGTTACAGTCCGGTAAACTCAAAATCGTCACAGCGTATTTTAGTTCATCGTGCTTAAAAACATTTATAACTTTATTGGTCTCACAACAAAATTTGTAAACTGTTCCATCCCACGCGCCTAACAAAAGCGTTTTTTTATCTAGATCTGTAAGATCAAACGAAATTGAACCGATTACTGTATCTGTTATATACTTTTCGTTAATTATTTGAAAATTTGATTTATCAATAATTAGTAGATAAGCATTTGATGTACCAACAAATAAAAAATCTTCGTCAGATAAAACGCTAAAACAAGTTCCAAAATAGTTTAAAGGTTCAAGCAAACCAGTCGATAAGCGATAAACTCCTGTTAATTTTTCCGACCCACACAAAAAAAATTCATAACTTTCTCGCTCTGCTGATAAAACAATCAAGCTACGTATGGAGTAATCAGAAACTTTTTTATAAGAACTAAAATATAATTGTTTGTCTTCTGTCATTAGTTATTAACAAACAATATAGATTCTTAATCTACTATTTGAGAGTTTCAAATTACAAATATTATAAATTATAAAAATACGAACATATATTTTTTATTGTACATATTTCCTTGAATAAATGTCTGCTTATGGTGTAGTTAATACAAGCAAAGACTCAATTTGGATCGAAAAATACCGGCCAAAAACCCTTGACAACCTTGTTGGGAACGAGGATCAAATTAATAAGTTGAAAGATATGCTTGAGACGAATATAATATTTAATTTATTAATTTGTGGGCCGCCAGGTGTAGGAAAAACTTCTGCTGCAAAGTGTTTTGCGAGACAATTGTTAGGAGAGTACTATGCAGAAGGCGTTCTTGAACTTAATGCAGCTAGTGAACGAGGGATAGAAACAGTCAGAGAAAAAATTAAAATTTTTTCACAGGAAAAAATAATATTGCCAAAAAGAAAATACAAAATAGTAATAATGGATGAAGTAGAAGCTATGACGACGACTGCACAACAATCTTTACGTAGAATATACGAAATATACGCAGACACAACTAGATATTTCATGATCTGTAATTCTAGTGAAAAAATAATTGAACCTTTGCAAAGTCGAAGCATTATTTTAAGGTTTAGCAAAATTAAAAATGATGCAATATTAAACCGGCTTAAAAAAATTTGTGATGCACAAAACTATAATTACAGCGAAGATGCACTTGCTCTGCTTGTCGATTCTTGTGAAGGAGATTGTCGAAAAGCTATAGGATATGTTCAAATGGCAGCTTCGCTGTACGACAAGCTCGAAATTGAAAATGTATATAATATCTGTGATATTCTGCCATTACCTTTAATTAAAGAGTTATTCTTGCATATACAAGAAGGACAATTTAAACAAGCAAACACAGCCACCGGCAAAATACTTGATGAAGGGTATTCGAATCAAGAAATATTAGCTTCTTTGCTAAAAATTATCGAAACAGATGATATGAGCAACTCCATGAAAATGATTTATCATGGTATGATAACAGAATCAATTATCGCCAATGAAACAGGCATTTCAGATTTGCAATTTGAGTAAGTTGAGAAACAATATATTTTTTAGTTCTTTACTCTGCCAACTGTGCAGCATTAAGCAGCAAAATTAGAAATCTTCAGAATAACTTTTTAAAAATTTTCTTAGACAGTGTAAATGCATGAAACCATAGCTATTGGTTTCACTCAGCTTGCTTATCAAGTCACAAAAAATGTTTTGAGCTGCTTTGAACGAACTTTTTTCTATGCCATGTTCTGTTGGATTAATAAGATGAATGCATTTTCTAGACATAAAAAAATTTTCGTTATTTTCCGGGTCGACCGTTTTCAATATATTTAACAAGTTCAGCAAATCAATACTATCGTTGGCTAATTTCTGTACTTGCGTGTGAATTGGTGTTTTAGATAAGAGATATTGCAATACGCCACAAGTTTCATCAAGCAATAGTTCTCTGCAAGCCATTAAATATTTGTCATTGACTTTTAACGAGCTTGCGTTATGCACAGATCCAGAATACAAAATTAAATTGTCGAGGTTATACATTAGCAAACCCAATTCTTTTTCTTTTTTATCACATTTTGTTAACCTATCGAAGCAGCAGATGCATTTGTTATTATCAATAGAAATGAAAAAGTAATCACTGGTCAAACAATTTGCTTTGCAAGGTTCGTCACTAACCAAGTAAGAATCTATTTTTTTGATTTGATCAAGTAAAAGTTTCGAGGATAACTCTCCGTTGTTAACAAAAAAGTCTAGTCTGCTGTTGAATTTTTCTTGTAACTCCAGAAACTGTTTAAACATTAAGTTTTTTTCGTCACGAAGAAAATTAAAATATTCCCATCTGAAATAAACAAAATTATCAGCAAAACTTGTAAAAGCTTTTTTTACTCGATCTGTTGCGTTTAAATAATTATTGAATATTAGTTCTGCCAAATAGGTAAAACAAACTTGATAGTTACTGTATACACTCAAATCGGCTAGTTCATTAACTACTCTGCAAGGTAATAAGTATTTCCGTTTCATAATGTTATTTTTTAAATAAGTACGTATCACATTCACTAATAGAATAGGTTTTTTTTCAGTCGCAAATTTAAAATCTGTTTCGTTCAAGTCATATAAATCAAACAATACAATTAAAATGTCGTCAAAACTATAGTCACTATACCAATTGAATTCCTCTATATCGCAAACGTAGTATAGCAATACAGAACACGCCTTATGAGATTTGCTGTAAAAATCCATTAATGTAGTAACGTCATTATCAGATGAAAGATTGTCATGATAAAACTTCGAAAATAGATCAATTGTATCTTTTAGCAGTTGAACTGAACGCTCATCTAAGTTGAATTTATCTTTTAACTGAAGCAAAAAAGATAACTTGCCAAATAACTTTTCAAAATTAAAATAAAACTTAATTAAGTAAGAAAAAGCTTCAACATCAAATAGTGGATTTAATGAAAATGAAAGCCCGCCGTTTAAAATAATTTTTTCAAAATTTTTTTCAAGATGATGTTTTAATTCCGCCTCCAAATCACGTATATGTAACTTCAAAAAAGATTTTTCTTCATCATTCAAAATGTTATGTTGATTTTCAAAAATTTGTAAGGTTTCTGAAATTATCAAAGACAAAAAAACTTCATTTAAGTTCGAAATAGTTGTTGAAACTATCGATATTAAAACATTTTTAATAGGTTCTAAATCTGAATAAAAAAACTGTTTGTTCCAATCTCCAATATTACGTTCGCACTTGTTTAAAGCAGCTAAAAATCTAATACAGTTAGCTACTTTTATATGAGAACCAAATAGTGTAGCAATATTTCTTAAAATTGGTTTCAACGAGGAAATCTTTTTCTACAATATATAAGCAATAAAAGTCAAAGCCCTACCTTACATGATAATTTTTCAATTAAATTAGCGAATTGATTGTTATTTTCATTGATGGTATTTTGCATTAATTAGATTTTAAAATAAATCTTTAAATTCATTTGAAAAGACATATTTAAATCCAAAGAGTGATTTCGTCACAGTACTTATAAATCGGTAACTTTATAAAATGTAATGTTTTGCTCTTACTTATATTGTTGATAATGCGGCAACAATAATAATTACGCATAAGCAATTTATTATAATTGTCCACGTTGTAGTGGTGACGATAAAACATGTCCACCTAAATATTTATTAACTTAAAAACGTACCATAGTAACGGAGCAGTACTCTGACAAAATATACACGTGTTTGTCCAAAACGTGCCTATGATCGTCAACTAAAAGATAATTTCACAAACTAACTCACTATAAAAGTTGCTATTAAAAGTAAAAACTCAACTACCAAAATGACTTTTGAATTTTTAAAATACGCTAACACAAAAGTGGTAGGTGTGCTAAGTACAAGAGTCGATAGCAACCATGCGGATAAAGGTCGGTCACATTCTAATTTTCTAGATGATATATATATGGCAACCTACAATGAAGAGATTTTTTTTACGTACACCGAGAATGTCTAAAAACAGAAACGTTCGCCAAAAATATTGTAAAATTGCGTTGTTGGTTGCAAATATTTGCATTGCAACGCTATAAAATAAATTTCGGAAAATTTCTAAAAAACAATAAAAAAGAATGATCTATTTTAGTAGGGATGAAATCATGGATTTATAATTATGTAGCTCAGGAAATAGTAAGAACACGAACTGCTAATTTTGATTCTCAATTTTACGTTGCACTAGATCAAGCCATTAAAGACTTAAATCTGCCAGTAGAGAGCATAAATGACGTTATATCACCTTCTATATGGGCTCCGTGTAGTAGAAAAGAAGCCTTGCTAAATGACGAGTGTGTCAATGGGTTCACGCAAAAAAAATCAAATCCTATGTCTAGCTTCATCGATTCTCTAACAAAAAATCACACAAAAGCTAGCACAAAATTCATAAGCATCGCTGCTCGATGTCCAATTTCTTGGAGAATTGCAGGAGATCAATGCATAGCTAACAAAAATGATACATGTGCATCTCGAGTGTTTATGAAAGATTTCAATGATATTATGTTTATGCAGGAGAACTGCTTTGTTGAATTTCCCACTTTTGGCGTAAATGAATATGTTTGTGAAAACAACATATGTGGTTTGATTTGTGAAGAAGAAGTTCCAAAATACAATTCACTAGTATCCTTAGCGATGAAAGAAATCAATGAGAGGAATAATGGTTGCTTCAATCCATATTTGAGTTCGAATAATGACGTCGATTCAGTTCAAGTTGAAACGAAAGATTTGAACAGTTTAAATTATTTTTTTGACCCCAAAATAGCAGCTCAAGATGAAAACGATTTCATGAAAACTTATAATGCAAGGCTCTGGAACAATAGAAAAATTTCTAAATTTAACGGTTATATTTCTACAACGGACTATTTTTTACGACACATAAACGAGCATATTTCCGCGGCAGAAATAGAAGAATGGATTCTGGTACAACATGATCTAATCAAATCAGGTAAGTCAATTGATTTTCTAAGTTGTCCTATGGGATTTCATTACAATAAAAAACTTAAAACATGTGAAATTTCAAGCAAAATCAAGAAGCTCAAATATAAACCGAATAAAAAATGTCCTTCGAGTTTCAAATTAGAGGATTTGACTTTGACACTTATAGCCGCATGTAATTACACGCCAAAACTAAAAAGTAGGCGTTTTGGTTTTTTTAACTCTCAAACTCTAAAGATAAGAGAATTGTCTGCGATAAAAAAACTGTCAAAAACACAAAAAGCTAAAAATAAGTTTCAATCAATTTTAAATTCGTCGGTAAAGTTTATAAAACAGAGAGATAATTTTAAAAGATATAAAAATCATCTCGGCAAACTGAGTGAAATGTACAAGCCGTACTCAAACAACAAACAATATTATTTGTTTGATTTTGCCTGTCCAATTGGTACTGAACGCATGGGTAATTATTGTTACAAAACTCATGTAACAGATTATGGCAGTGCGTGTAACTTATTTCCAGCCACTATGGATATTTACGAAAAACGAGAAATAATGCAGAAATGCAAGCTAAAATGGCCTGTAACTGACTGCAGTCGTAACTACGTAACTGCAGACTGCCCAATAGGCTACATCTACGATAACAATTACACACTTTGTCGTAAGGTTATGCCAAGTTTGCCGGGACCTTTTAGTTTAAAACTGGAAACGACTCAAGCGAAAATAAATGCCGCAAACAAATACGAAGTGCAATTTCCCTGTATAAATAAAAATCCCTATTGTATACAAAACTACCTGAATAAATGCCCCATTGGGTTCACTGAATTGATCTTGGATAGGGAGGAGTCGATTTGTATTTCAAAAACATATTCAGGACCTTGTCAATCAGAACTCTCTATTGATGAAATAAATAAAACATTTACTATACACAAGTTAAGAAAAGTTTTAGAAGATAAAGTTTCTTATGAAGACGAATGTGCCGTAGTATACCCTTGTTTGCTTGGAAAACGGCAACGCTTCAGTTCTTCTTGTCCAGAAGGTTTTGTCAAAAAAAATGATACATGTATGAACGAATTGAAAATTTCAAATGTTTGTCAATTAAACGAGATGTAAGTTTTATTTTTTAAACACAATTTCAGACCTGCTAACTTAAGCTACCTAGACAAAATGCGCTTAAGCAGTTCATGCGGGATACTGTGGCCTATTAAAAACGATTGTGTAGATGATCGTACGCATTGTCCAATCGGTTGGGAAGATCATTTCATAGATAATCGAATTTTATGCAAACCTAATAGTTTTTTAGCGGTAAGTAGTCTTAACAATCATTTTTAGATTAACAACACAGAAACGTTTTATTTAGATGAATTAACAGAAGAAACGCAAGAGTTTTTGATTTCTGCGTACGGCATTAGATGGCATTGTAAAAACGAGAGTGATAAAAAAAATTTTAAAAGTGTTGCTAAATCAAAATTAAAAAGTGTAATGTCGCATTTACACACCAGATTTTAACTGGTCAGAAGTTTTTAGATTTTTTCTCATAGGAATTCTATGAGCTCCGAAACAACTTTTGCGGGCTGAAACGTTATTATCATGTTGAGCCGGCTTAAACGGTTCCGCTGGAATTGCTTTATTGACAAATTCTTTATTCACTTCAACCGTGGAAGTTCGTTGCTTTTTTTCCACGTCATTTTCTTCTTTTTTAGTTTCAACAGTAGTTTCGATTGTTTTTGTTTTAGTAAGCTGATCGCCGTCGTCCTGCACAAAAGTAACATATGTTTCTTCAGTACATTTTTTTTCTGCAATTTTTATTGAAGCTTCGTTTGCTTTATCGTTTAGAGAAGCAAATTTATTCTTCGATAATTCAATAGGTTCTTCTAACAACGGGTTTGTGCTTAAAACCTGGCCATTTGTCCCTTCGTAAGGATCGCAATTGAAATTCATAGGTATATCGAGTTTGGAATACTGATCATTGAATTCTTCATGACTTACGACTGAATTTGAAGAATAAATTTGGTACGAAGCGGGCTCGTCGAGATATCTTTCATCGAAATGGTTGTTGAAATTTTCATTCAAGAGCTGGTCATCATTCTGGTTGAATAATTTGTTTGACAGCTTTTGAAGCTGTAAAAGCGTCCAATTACCGATGTTTTCATAAATCGGTTTTGTAATTGAGTCTTTGTCAGTCAAAAAATGGAATACATTTTTTGCAATAACGGCTGTGCTTCGCACAACTACATCGCAAACCATACAAGACACAGCCACAGATTGTTCTATCATGTACGGCAGATTGTTGCACTCATCGAGCTCGCCGTTGTTATTTTCAATATAGTAATAACGATCGTCATTGACGACAGGAGGATAATACTGGTTAGCCATAAACTTGCATGCAACTCTAACCAAATTTCAGTATGCTATTTTTGTTTTTCCCAATACCAGCGTTTACCTTTTAAACTAGCCCAAAAATTCGAGAAAATGTTTATTTTTTGTATTGATTGATTAGATATCTTCTTTTGACAAACTTTGTTGGCAAGGTGCACATGCTTAGTTAGGTGGCTCAAATTGAACGACATTTTCATGAACACTACAACATCAAGTAAAACAATAAATGAGGAATCGATAGATGATCCACATGATGTTGAGAACAAAGGTATGTATAATATATATTTTATATTTTAGACAATTTCGAGAGTAAATTTGTTTTTTCAAAATTAGTACAATCGTATTTGCTGGAGCAAAAAAAGAATTCAGACCAAAATAATTTTCAGAAAAATAATTAAATATTTAATAATAGCTTATAGTATATTTTCTTTAAAATTTTACATCTCTTAATTGATCACAAATTAAACAGGCAACAATATAAGTCAAAAAACCAAATTCGCTAAAGATGCTTGCAAAAATTGTACGTTAAAATTTAATGCTAATTTTTGATTATATCTAGTTGTCTTATAGTCAATGTTTTATGTACCGTTCAAAGTTCTCAAAACGAGGTGAAGGCTTCCGACATTGTTACTGAAAATGCAAAGCTTAAAAGCCAAGTTAGCACAGAAAAAGACAGTATATCAGCTGAAAACACAGTTTTTTCAAACATGGAAGATATACAAAATGCTTTGCTGAATTCCAATGTAAGAAACATTGATTACTCTGAAGCAAAAAAAAGCCATGAGGACGAAAAACTAGTTAATATGGACTCTGCTAAAATAAAAAAAGAAATGTATAGTTTGCAAACGTTGGCTCAAGTAATAGTGGTAACGATACGTGAAATTATCGCTAAACAAAAACAATCATAGTATATTATATATAAATAAGTTCGGAAAAAAATTTAATTTATTCGCAAAATAATTGTATATTTTTGTATTTGTAATTATAATTTGACAATCTAGGCGCTACTAAAAATTGATAAGGTGAAAGCAATGTGAGATGAATGAATGTGCTTCGGGGCTGAATGAACTTTGTAAATGCAAATACAATTTTACGTCGTGTATTATTTTTCCAAATGGAAGCGTTGTCGACCTTGTAGTGTTTTTCAAAACATACCAATTTCAACCTGATCACACTGATATTCCTATTTTGAAATTTATAGCTTCAATAGAAAACAAGCAAGAAATAATCTTAACTTGTGATTTACTGAGTTTTTTCGGCATAGTCGTCAACAACGAAAATATGATTCAGGCACTTCGTGACACAAATGTGAGCCTGATAACTGTCGACGAAAATTCTAAAATGTATTATTTGGTATCGTTAGCCCCAAATCAGGAATATGTGTCTATAAACAAGTTGGTAAACACAGTTCAAACGAGAAACCACTTTGCTCGTTACATTGAAGAATGTGAATTTTTCAAATGCAACACCGAACAAAAAAAAGTTTACGAGGTGATCACGGTTTCTCCGTTCGCGGAAATCGTTCAAAATGAAGAAAATAACAATGCCCAACGCGACATGGAGCTCGAGTTTATCTGATAACTTTGAACGAAAAGCTAAAACAAAATTTCGGTTTAAATATCGTCTGAACATTGGACTGGGGTCGAGTCATGTTGTCTATTATCAAGAAAAGAGTGTACTTAGTGTATTCTTTCAATAAAGATTCGATTGCCAAAAATAACAAAGAACTAAACACACTCTGGTTGTGGCTTGCTCTGTGGAGTTTTTTACTCCACCTACCCGGTTGTATAACGGTACAGTTCACGATAATTCAGACTTAAATGCTGATCCAATTAGGATGGGCAATATGACATTTCTCCGGTTGAATTGCAAGGCTCAATTGATTTTCACTAACAATTTACAAATTTGTTACTAATCACGATCCTTGGGTTTATTTTGAAGGATCGATATTAAATACCAGTTAAGCGTTACTATCAGTTTTTAATGTTATTAATAGTATAATACTCTGTGGTTGCATTTTGGCAATTCATTGATTGCACATATGTATTATTGTGATTTTCTATATGTGTTTGTGAAAAAGATAAATACACAAAAAAATAGAAAATGTATATTTGCAGAATAGTTAGTCGGTAGACTGAGCACACTAAATTTAACTAAGTTGTTTAATGTATGAAAAATTATGCAATTTTATTAAAATGTAGAATATAAGAGTTTTGTGGTAAAATATTTTAGAGCAGACTCGTCAACCTAGTTTAAAAAATATAAATGTCGCAAATGAGACCAGAAGATGAATACCTGAACGCTGATTCCACAGATAGTTCAGGTTTTTCGGATGAGGGAGACTTGCTGGACGAGGAAGACGACACTCTGTTAGTTGAAGCCATTAGTTTAATAAAAAAAAACAGATTGGAAAAGGTCTCTGAACTGATGTCGCAGATTTCGAAAAAGACCCAAGAAAAACTGCAGCAACTAAATTCACCAGAAGAACAGAAAGACAATTTTATTTCGGTTCGTGACTGTATGATTGAAAACGTGAAAAATTTTAATCTAGAAGAAGATAAGGTTAATGAAAGCGAGAACGAGGCGAGGACAAATCTAAATAAAGATAAAAATATTGGTAAGCTTAAAAAGTCACTCCAAGAAGAAATTGAAGCTCTGGACGAGATCACGTCGGACGACGAAGACAAGCACGTTTTGGCTTTAACTTCTTTCAAAAAAACGACAACAGAAGAAAAAGCTGACACCAAATCTAATGCCTGGCAAAATTTACCAGTATCAAACGAAAATGAAGACAAGTGGTTGCTCGATTATTTCGGCAAGGCACTGTGGAAAACAAAAAACGCTGTTGAAAACATAAATCTTATAGATTCAAGTGGAGATTTGAAAAAAGAAAACTACTCAGTCGTTATCAACGATGAAGTTGACGAGAAAATGGTTCAAGTAGCGGAAGATGCCGAGGATGATTTCAACCACGGGGGAACTCACGTTGAAAAACACGCGCGAACTGAAGGTTTTGGATTCGACAAGATTTTCAAAGAGACAAAGCGTATGCGACGCAGACGCAAGAAGAAGCTTGAGCTAGAAGCCAACGTGGAGCTCAACAAAGAAAAAGTGAAAAGAAAAATAGCTGATATAAATAAGCTGCTGAATTCAGTTGACAACAACGTGTCTAGTGACAGCGACTTTGCGGACGATCAAGAGTGGTTCTTGTGTGATAATTGCTATACCGCGATCGAAGAAGGCAAAGCATTTTACACCTGTGTCGAATGCGAGATGTGTTATTGCACAGCTTGTCAGAAAAAAGTCTTACACGAACACTCGCTGCGAAAGACTAAATGTCAACAACGTCCTCCAAAAAATTGGAAATTAATCGTGCGAGATATGATTAAAGAACGAGAGCCCGAAATATTTGGAAACTACATCGTTAGTTCGTTGAAGTTCAAGCCAGACGAAGAGTTTGTCTACGTTCAAGCTTCTTCAGTGGACAAAGACAAGCGAAAGCCGGAAGAAATCGTGCAGGAGTTACTGGAAGATAAATTTGATGAAACTAAAACTAAGAAATTTAAAAAGAACAATAAACGAACTGCGGAGCTGGATGATATTGAAACTATTTCGGTTGATTAGTGGGTTCAGCAGCGCGATGTGCAGAGTGAAAAACAGTCAAGTACCTTATGAACTGGTCTTTTTTAAAGGTCCGATAAAATTGGCATCGCGGACATGTTAGCGTGACTTTGTCCCTTTCTAATTTGCAGAAGTCAGAATTATCGATGCTGTCCACATTGAAAAAAGATGTACTGCATTTTTTGCAAAAGAAGGCTTTCTGTTCTTTACTGATGGTGTAAACAGCGCTTTTTGCTAGTTCGCGGCAATGCGATATTAAAGAAGCGTTCAAGCCGTTATCAGCGCTGTATTTTGAAATGAAATGAGCGACAGAAAGAAGGTGTTTTGCGTTATTAGATATTATCACATCTCGTCTTTCTGCTTTCTTACCCATTAATAAAAATAAAGTTTATTTTTTTATTTTGGCTAATTGTATAAATCATCAAATGTGTATAGTAAATGGACTATAGTACTAGGGTTGGCCACAAAACCGGTTCGGGAGCTATTGCGACGCCGCAGCAACTTGAGGCTTTACGGCAAGAACGCTTAAAGCGCTTGGCGTTGGAAACAATAAACTTAGCCAACGATCCGTATATTAAAAAAAATCACGTCGGAAAATTTGAATGCAAGTTGTGTTTAACGTTGCATCCAAACGAGGCCAGTTATTTGACCCACACGCAGTGCAAAAAACACCAGAACAATTTGAGAGTTCGTGCTATAAAAGAAATAAAGTATGTAGACCATATTGCAAACAAACAAAACGCCAAGAACAAAGTCACAAAGGCGGTCACTAAAAAATTGAACACTATTCCAAAATTTGAAATCATTAAAGTAAGAGAGTATAGCACGGATCGATTTGGCTTGAAAGTGGTAGTCGACGTGCCAACGTCACTCGAAGACTTTCCACCAAAGTTTCGCATACTGAATTCATTTGAACAAACGGTTGTGCCTGAAAATCCTAAAGTTTGTTTTCTAGTTATTAGTTGTCCGCCTTACTCCAACATTGGAATTATGATTCCAGCGGCCTCGATCTCGCGAGCTCCCGAGGAACTTTTGTCTAAGTATGATCCAGTAAATAAAAAATATATTGTTCAATTATTATTTAATAATAACCCAATAGATTTTTATTAATATTTATTAGAAAGTTACATTTCATCAACTTTTGGTTTGCGTAAATCAACTTTCCATTTACTGTCCCTTTAACATAATTGTTTGTATTAAACTACCCTCATGGGTGAGGAAAGGAGCTTAGCTGAGAAGCTAGCCGAGTCCATTGAAATCTATAAAAACGAACTTGCCAAAAATTATGAGTTGAAGCAAGTTTTGAATAACGCTGAGTTAACTGAATTATTGAGCGAGCCTTTGTACAAAATGTACGAGCTGCAGTTGCGAACTGAATACGAGCGACGAAACTAAATGTACATGTTGTAGAACAAGTCGCTTAGTGAAGAAATTATGTCGCCCAAGACTCGGTTATTTATTAAAATTACTGTAGGAACGAAATACAGCTCGTTACGCTTTAGGTCGCTGTAGTCCGAAGTTTTTTTCACTACTAGCCAGTCTGTGTTTATTTTGTCTATGAGTTTTATGCTGTCGTTCGTACTAAACTGTTTTGGTGTTTTTTCATTGACGAAATTCATCATGCTGGTCAACCTTGAAGCTTCATTCGTGTAAAAATCATTTACATCGGGGCCAGGTCTTTCGAACGATGAGCTTTTCGTCGCCAGATTGTCTAACAGTGAGTTGTTTGAAGTGTCCCAACTGGAATACACTGAATAGATTTTTCCTATTATCAGTTGCTCGGAAAAAAAAACGATGTAGGACTCCAAGATTTGATTGGTTAACTTTACTATTAAAGCATTTCTTGTGTTTACGCGCTGAATTATGCTGCCAGAGCTTCTTGGAGAGCTATAGTCATTATTGTACGAACAGCAAAGCTTTTGAGGTGGTGAAATTGTGCAATCGGAGTTTTCGTTACTTCTTTGGAGCGAAGATACATCTTCAAGATTCATATTTTAATTTTTCTAAAGTTTATTTTATTAGTTAATAAAACGGGTCCTATATATTAAAGAGCAAACAGGTTTGCGCATTGAAAAAAACATTTTGTTTCTTTTATATCGAAGCTATTAATTGGTGAATAAGCATTATTATATTAATTTATTAGATTTTTGTTAATTTTGTATAAGTAAATTGAAGATCTTCATTAATTTATATATTTATAAATTTTAACGAAGAAAAGGTTGCGTGACAATTGATTAAAAATGGGCAAGTGTAAGTACTGGCTTATATTCAACGTAGATAAACATTGAATACCCAGCTTTTTCCGGAAAGATTAAACTTTATTGTAGTTCGAGTTTTAGACATAACAAAACCGCTGAGTGGCATCTTGCCTTCAATTAGAACGCCAAAAAGACCGGTGTCAGGAAATGAAAAGATTTTTTGGACTCTAGTTTGTTTGTTTATTTTCTTAGTATGCTCGCAAATCCCGATATTCGGTGTGACGATGAACAGTTCGGCAGATCCGTTTTACTGGGCGAGAGTAATGCTTGCGAGTAACAAAGGCTCCTTGATGGAGCTGGGTATTTCGCCAATAATGACTGCATCGATGATAATGCATTTCCTGGTTGGACTCAAAGCGATTGCGTGTGACATGTCGCTCAGCGAAGACAGAGAGTTGTATAATGACGCGCAAAAATGGTTAAGTCTGGTTATTTGTTTTGGTACGTCTATTGCCTACGTGCTGTCAGGTGCTTTCGGAAAAATCTCCTTATTTGTGTCTGTAATCATCATTACTCAATTGTTAACTTCCGGCGTCATTGTAATGTTAATGGACGACTTGCTTACGAAGGGCTACGGCTTTGGTGGCGGAGTCTCAATGTTTATTACTACATCGATTTGTGAAAAATTGGTTTGGAGTATGTTTTCGCCGACAACTCTGCACACCAAGAACGGTACGGAATTTGAAGGGGCTTTCGTAGCGCTCATGCACTTTTTGATCGTTAGAAAAAACAAACTGATTGCGCTAAAAGAAGCATTTTATCGAGAATCGGCCATCAATATAACGAACGTGCTAGCTACCTTAACCATGCTTGGAGTCATTATCTATTTGCAGTGCTTTAGAGTCGACATTCCTATCAAACACAGAACGAATGGTGGACAAGTCGGAGTTTTCCCCGTTAAACTCTTTTACACGCATAGCTCGTCCATGTTGATCGAAACCACTTTGACTTCTCATTTATTTTATTTATCGCATGTACTCTATCGACAAATGCGAAGCAACCCATTTGTCAATTTGCTAGGTCAGTGGCAGGAACTTCCAAACGGCAGAAAAAAACCCATTGGTGGACTGTCTTATTACATCCATCCACCAATGAGTGCCAAGGATTACGTTACTCAACCGTTTCACACAGTCATTTATGTTTTGTTTGTTATAATTAGCTGTGCTTTTATCTCCAAACTGTACCTTGATATTAGCAACACCGGCCCTCGTGAAGTAACTAAGCAAATTCGAGATGCAGGCTTCACCATTCGAGGCCAAAGAGAAACGTCCATTTACAACGTGTTCCAGTCGATAATTCCCACTGCGGCTGTTCTCAGCGGCGTTTTACTCGCTGTTCTTACAATAATGGCCGACTTCTTTGGCGTCATTGGAGGTGGAACGGGTTTGCTCGTTACCGTTACTACAATATACCATTTTTATGAACAAATATATAGAGAATATAAAACTACTGATGCCTAAATTTCAGTGTGTAGTTTAACTATCAAGGTGTTACCTAATACATCTTATAAATATTGCAAATTAATGATAACAAAGAAAATTTGGTATTTTTGTAATTTAATTCGTCGAACCATCAATATTAATATTTCAACATGCTTAGTGTTTTTACTAAAAAAAATAGTAAAAATAACGAAAGAACAACAACTGTAAATAGAGTCAAAGAGTCCCCCATTATAGGGATCGATTTGGGCACGACGAATAGCTGTGTAGCTGTGTTTGAAAATGGCGAATCAAAAGTGATTAAAGACGATGAAGGGCACGCTACCGTGCCAAGTATGATTTCTATCTCTGGAAATGATGTTGTTAGAGGGCATTCTGCAAAGAATCAAGGCTTAATAAATGCAAACAACACGTTGTTTGCTACAAAACGATTTATTGGGCGTAAATACAATGAAGTGGCCGAAGAAGCTAAATCGTTACCTTACAAAGTGGTTCCAGGCCCTAACGGTGATGCTTGGATTGAAATAGACGGAAAGAAAGTCAGTCCGTGCCAGGTTGCCGCTGAAATTCTGAAAGAAATGAAGGGTATCAGCGAGCGATATCTAGGAAAAGAGGTTAAAGACGCCGTAATTACCGTGCCGGCTTACTTCAATGAATCTCAACGCCAGGCAACGAAAGACGCAGGAAAAATAGCTGGGCTAAATGTTATGCGTCTTATAAACGAACCTACGTCGGCTGCGCTTGCTTACGGCATAAATTCGTTGAAAAACGATAATAAGCCACTTCGCGTAGCTGTATTTGATTTGGGGGGCGGGACGTTCGATATTTCCATATTAGAAATTAACGGTTCTGTGATCGAAGTAAAGGCTACAAACGGGGACAGCAGTCTAGGAGGTGAAGACTTCGATCGACGTTTACAATCATATATCGAAGATGAGATAAAAAAAGAGTTGAAAGTTGACATTGAAAAAGACGCAACATTATTACTACGCATTCGCGAAGCTTGTGAAACCGCAAAAAAACAGCTATCTAAAGTTACGAGCGTTGAAATTTGCATTCCGTTCATCAAGACTAAAAATGACAAGATGGTTGACTTTAAAAAAGAAATCACAAGAAAGTTCTTTTCGAATCTCGTCGCTGATATTACTAAAAAAACGGTCGAACCCTGTATTCGTTGTTTGCAAGACAGCAACTTAGAAAAGTCAGACATCGACGAAATTATTTTAGTTGGAGGCATGACTAGGTGTCCAGCGGTCTTAGAAACAGTTGAAAAAATATTTGGTAAAAAGCCGATAACAACAGTAAATCCAGACGAGGCAGTTGCTTTGGGGGCTGCAATTCAAGGCTCCATTTTAGGAGGTTCTAACAAGGAAGTATTGTTACTCGATGTAGCTCCGTTGTCTCTCGGAATCGAAACTGTTGGCGGTGTTTTCACGCGATTGATAAACAGAAATACCACTATTCCCACAGAAAAGTCGAGCATTTTTTCTACTGCAGTTGACAATCAAGAACAAGTATTAATTAAGATTTACCAGGGCGAGCGCGAAATGTCGTCGAAAAACAAATATCTCGGCCAGCTAGTTTTGCAAGACATCCCGAAAGCTCCTAAAGGCGTGCCTCAAATTCTGGTTAAATTCAGAATTGACGCAGACGGTCTTTTACACGTTACAACCTTAGACAAGACGACAAATAAAAAGCAAGAAATCGTGATTGAAGCCAACAGTGGCTTGACCAAAGAAGAAATAGATTCAATGATACAACAGGCAGAAGAGATGAAGCAAGAAGATTTAGACGAAATCGAAATTATGGATTTACGATCTAAACTCGAACAGTCTATCGAACGTGCAGAAAATTTTATTGAGAATGTTCGCGACAAACTAAGCAAGTCGGACATTGAACGTCTTAAAGACTGCATCAAGTCTGGTAAAGCCGTGAACGCTAATTCGAAACCATCTGATTACCGGGTCATGATCAAACTTTTAAACGAAGTAGTGTCTAAAATAATCAGTCGATTATGATTTATTATTAAGAAATTATTTAAAATTAGATAATATGCGATTTTGGCTGTAGTTTACAAATCTTTTCTACTACGCGTGATGAAGCATCAGTTATTTTAATTTAAATGCATTTTGACGATTCAAGTTTAAAAGAATGGTTATGTCGTGCAGAAGAAATTATCAGTATTGATCAAGATAAAGTCTATGGTAGTAGTTCCGTAGTTGAGACTAATTTCGGGGCTTGTGACGCTTCAGGTATAGAAGTATCCAAAACCACAGAAGAGCTTTTGACTGATGCCAGTCAATACGTGCCTCATTTTTGGCAAGATTTTCAAAATGAAAAGCAAGGTTACGCAGTAAACCAGTTTCACATTGGAAACTTGTCAAACGCAGAAAACGCGCATAGTAACTTTGCGACCAAACAGGCTAAAGAGGGAGCTAATGTGCAACAAGGAATTGCCCTAGATCGTGAAGTCAATCCTGAGTTATCAGCGTTTCGTTCTCAAATTCAAGGATTGCAAGAGCAAAAAATGAGTATTATTAATGGATATGAAACTAAGATACAATCAATCATCAATCATTACGCGTTGGTAGAAGCGGATAAGTTTGTAGAAAATAATATTTCATTTTCCGACTTTGTTCGCTTGCAGCGCGAATATGATGAATTTAAAGTTATGAGCACGGAACAAAACAACAAGGTGTTGAGTGACAATAAACTACTGAGCAAGCAGAACGCAGACTTAATTTTTCGTAACGAGATGTTACAAAAACAGCTGTTGGCTGCGTCAAATAAGTTGATAACTCTAGAGCAAGAATACTTCCGTGAAACGACTATGCTGCAAAATAAAATCGAATATCTTCAGTCGTTAGAATTGCAGAGTGAATCGCTGTCTCACGAGCTAACACATCAAAAGAACGATTACGAAAAACAGCTAAAGACTCAGGTAGACGCTTTCACCGAGCGAATTGCTGAAATCAACTGTGTGAACCAGAAACGTATCGAAGAGCTGGAAATGCAGATGAACGAGTTGGCAAAACAAGCTAAGCACACCTCGTGTAACAGGCAGCTAACAGACTTGGAGCAAGAAAAACAAGAGTTGATGAAGTCGATAGAGTGCAAAAACAACGCATTGGACGAGGTGTGTGAAAAACTTGAATTGATCGAGCAGGAACTACTGGAGTTCAACAAGTCGAGCGAAAAGAACTCTCGAATTTTAGCGGAATACACATGCAGACTGGACGAGACTCAGAAACTGGTTTATAAGCTGGAAGCTGAAAAGTCAGAGCTGCAGACTTTGTTGCTTTACAAAAATAAGAGTCTGAACCGGCTGATCTGACTTCAGCACGTCTCGGCCGAGTGTACTAAATATTTATTAGGATACCAAAATTATTTTATAATGTGTATATGTTAATTAAAGACTACACATTGCTGCTGAAGCAATGATGATTTTATTTTATGAACTTTTTTTCCTCCTGTTTCTTGAATTTAGTCTGGTTAGTTCTATTGTTGTTGGTTTCGTTTAAATTGCTTTTCATATCATCATTTTGGTTTTTTTTGGACTTGTATTTGGTATTGCTGTACTGTTTGGAGGTGGAAACAGCTTCTGGTTGCTTGGCGCCTGTTGTTTGAAGTTCGCCAGAAGCTTCGTTGGAAGCGTGCTCGGCGTTAATTTTAGAGTCAGGCGAAGTTTGAGCATTGTTTTCAGTTCTGTTATGGATCGTTTGCTTGCGGTGGGGAGCATTACTGTACACATTGCGAGTCAAAAAGTAAAACTTAAGTCCTTGGATGTCAAACCGGGGCTTGTTCTTCATCATCATATTAAGCCGGTTTTCGTCGGCGTTGAATTTGATAATGAAAAAGTTTTTTTTTGAGTTGTTTGTCCCAGTGCTCTTTAAAAAAGATTTGTACCCGTGGTCTCCAAAGTTACGGATTAATTCGTCGTTGATAGTTTGGTCCGTTAGTTTACGTGCTTCCATATCGTCTTTGATGTCAACAAGTGCTACTCGAAGCTGTCGAGTCTCGACTTCTTCGCGATAAAGTTCATCAGGCGGCGATGCAGCTGGTTCGCCAAGCCTAGGTTTGTGTGACTCAGAAACGGTTTCGCTGGTGACACTGGTGTAGCTCAAGTTTTGGTTAGTCGAGTCAAAAGTGTGGACATAGTTAATTTTGAGGTTGATGGAGGTTTGCAACAGGTTCATAAATTCGCTGGCAATGCTGGCAACTTTGAGGTTGGGGACCATGTAGCTAGAGTCGCCGCCCAGCCAAAGGCCGTCAGGCATGATTAGCGTGAACGTGTGTACGAAATCGGATTCGTAATCAGGCGCTCCGTTGTTCGTACAACGCATGTGACCTCGGATTACAAGAGTTTTGAGCAACCCCATGTTTCCACAATTAAGTAAGTGAAACAGCTGGATTGTGAACTGAGCTTGGTGATAGCGCTTGAACAGCACGAAATTATACAGTTTCATTATCTCACATTGGTTTATCGCTTCATATGCGTCGTTTTGGTTGCACATACCTAAAAAAAAATTGAAAAGGCGGCTTTCTGGTCCCGTAACACTTACCAATATGCATCAGGTGCGCTTGTTTCGAATATAGATCGAATATCTCTGGCGAAGCCAAAGAAAGACATTGGTAAAAATACTCTATGAAGCTTCGCAGATTTTGTCCTAGAATTGATTCACTAAATGCTGTACAACTCATAAATAACTGGTTGAAATGTAATTGAACTCAGTTAAACTAATGCAGACACATCAATCTAAAAACAAGGCGAGACTCTCAGTGACTTTTAGATTTTTGAATACTATAATGAATAATCAGAAACTATTTTCTTTGATAAATGGTATATTAAATATAAATAATTTAAAAATAATTTTTCAGAGAAATAATAAATAATAAATTATTTGGGGTTTCTTTTAAACCAGGGAAATATGTGTTGCCAATGAAGGTTTTTTATTCATCTGGTTCATCTGGAAAAGAATTGTTGGAATATTTTTATAACTTCATTTTGAATCGAAGCAATAGCAATTTTAAATCACTTGTATTAGTCAGGAACGATGCTCAAGTTAAGTTTTTAACTTTGCTATTCAAGAAAAATCACGAAAAGGTGTTGTCCTTTATGGTGTTTAATACGCTGAATGAGATTTCTGAGATCGAGCTAAAGGACGATGTTCCTTGTGTTGTTTTCAATTGCGTTAGAAGTGAGAGTGATTTGGAAAAAATAAGTAGTTTGAAAAATGTCAATCTATTATTTTTTATTATTCATAAATCTGAAATAGAACATATTTCTCAAGTGTTTCTGCCCATCAATTATGTAAAAATAAAGATTTCTATAGTTCCTTATGAAGAACTTGTTAAAGCAATTCAAAGTTCACAAGAGCTTTATTCGAATGCAGTCAATGCATACAAGGCGTACGTCGTAAACTATTCTACGAGCTACTGGAAACCTGAGCTATACGATCTTAAGACTATAAGTCAGCAATTTGGTCTTCCTGCACCCGTCAGAGTAAATGAACTGTTTGACTCTGAAAATAAAAATTAGTAAAAAATCGTGTTCAGCTGCTTGTTCACTGCATGAGTATGCTTAGTACCTTCATTTTGCCATTGTTAAACGGTTGCTTGCATAAATAGATTTTATCAGTCAAAGAAACTCAATAAAACTTATAACTTATACTAGCTCGCAATACTTAATTAACATTATTTTTCGGTTTTTACGACTGTGCTCTTACTAAATGATTAATACTTATTTTTTGCTTTCAGTAACCATTTTGGTATAACCTTATATTTCGTTTCTTGCGACATTTGGTTGAGTTCATGTTCGGAAAAGTTGTAAATTGGTGGCGGAATTTTTCCATGTGGTAAGCGGTAGTGTTCATCGCGCAGTTCGTCAAAAAACGGCAAAGCTAAGGCGTCGAAAGGATGTATGCGGCTTGAGGGATCATACTTAAACAGATTAGATAAGAGTTCGTAGAAACTGTCCGGTAAATCCGGATTTTTCTTGAACAATTGACGAAGATCCACTTTTTTGTATTCTGGAAAATTAAAGTTAGAATATTCTGGATTCATACTCTCGATTTGTTGTTTAGTGGGAGACCCTAAGATTTGAATTATTTTGACAAATTGTTCAACACTGGTCGAACCTGCGAAAAACGGCTTTCCTAGCGCCATTTCTGCAATGACACAGCCAATTGACCATAGATCGATAGCGCATGTGTAGTCGCATGATCCTAACATAAGTTCTGGAGCACGGTAAAATCTACTACATATGTAGGCAACTGAAACCTCACCTGGGTGTAGCCGTTTCGCACTGCCCAAGTCGCAAAGCCGTACTGCGTTAGTTTCAGGATCAACCAAAACATTCTGTGGTTTTAAATCACGGTGACATATTCCTAGCGAATGCATGTAACCCAACGCACGAAGAAGTTGGTAAGAATACAGTTTAATGTAAGGTTCACTTAGGCCAAATCCGTTGTTGTGTCTAGAAGCTTCTCTTATACTGGAATATAAATTATATGGAATGTACGGCATTACTAAACAGAGGTATCTTTGCATCAAGCTTGAATCAGGAGCTTTGGTTTCTGTGTAATAAAAATCTTTTAGTAAAATGATGTTGGGATGATAAAGCTGTTCCATTATTGCAAGTTCCCGATTTTTATACCTTGGATCTTGTAATACACGTTTAATCGCGACTGTTTCTCCGGTTTCACTACATTTTGCTTGAGAAACCGTACCAAAAGAACCATTGCCTACAATTTTACCAATTTTGTATTTCGAAAAACCAGATGTTGTATTTACCATATCTGACACGATTGTTTATCAATAAACCATTAAACACTACTTCTACGAAGCTTATTTTAAACGTTACCCGATTTTCTTAATGTTAAAAATGGTTTTCTATTGTTGGAATGTTTTGTTTACGTGTGTCAAAAATGGTTTTCCTGACACGGACTCTTGACTTTTCCTGTTGGGTGTAGATTATTCCAATCTCTTTACTCATTTAAACTAATAACGGTTTTTCTTTGTATTTAATAATTCATTGAGTGCAAATTATACACATTTCCGCCGATCAATTCAAGTGTTTTCTATGGTTTTTTTACGTTTAATAAAAATGAAATAGATTTTCCGGTCTATCTGGGATAATATGTTTATTTTATACATAATGCAATTACTACAAAGTACAAAATGCCGTTTTACAGAACTTGATCAGCTTAAAAATGTAACAAACAGCATTGTTTCTATGCCTGACGTAAGTAAAAAGTTAATTTAAGTTTTTAGCGCAGTTCATTAGAAAAGCTGGCGTTAGACGCAGAATACATAGCTGATTCAGATGAATTGAAAGAATGTTATCCGGATTTCAACTTAAACTGCCCTTTAAACTGGCGAGAAATTAAGTCAAGTGAGGATAAAACTATTTGTAAATTAGTGAGAAAAAAAGATTCTTATCCTTTCGATACAATCGATGTGACTAATTTTTCGAAAGAAAAAAAAGCTTTATTTTCCCTAATCTGCAATTCCAAGTATCCATGCAAGCTCAAACTGTTTAAATCGCAGTCGGAATTGCTTACTTATGTTACCGGAAATATGATCAGTTGTGTTAGAAACTTTTCCCAATGTCCTGAGAACTTTATTTACAATCCAACTGACAATTCATGCGTGCCTAATAAAAATAAATACTTTGGCAATTGTGTCAATAAAAATTTTTTACCCAGAACTGCAAACACAAGTATTGAAATTATTAATCAAAAAATACTTTGGGCGGAAAAGTGCGAAACTAGTAGGTTAACTAATATTTAAATACTTTTTTAGCATGGCCATGTGTGTAACGTAGTTGGTTAAATGTAAATTATTTCTTTTCTTCGTTACTTCATTAAAAATAAAATCGTTGCGAAGAAAAGAACGATTAGGAATATTTTGAAAAAAAACCAGCTTTTGCGTTTTAAGTTTCTGTAATATTTTTGCAAATGTTTTTGCCCCAGATTGAATTGGGAATACCCTTCCTCCAGGGTTAAATCAATACGCGTGAGCATTTCTTCTTGATGAGACACTAGAGTTGCCATGTTTTTAAAGAGCCTAGAAACGTCTGCAATAGTGCTTTGAATATGGTCAAGTACGTCGCTTCCAGCTTGTCTAAGTGTGGTTTTCGGCTTAGGTGGTTTGAATAAAATGGAATTAACATTGGTCGTACTCATGTGCGCCTTTGCATTGATATCATCATCTTCCTGATACATAACTTGTCTTTTTCCGTACTGGCGTCTACGAGATTCCAATTCTTGAACGGTTTTTTTGTATTTGCAAAGTAATTGAGTAAAGAGTTTGGTTTTTAATTCAAATTTTTGTTTAAGCATCTGAATAATGGAAGAAAAATATTGTTTTAGTTGTTCGTTTTTTTGCTTGTCGTTTAAATCGTCAGCTTCTTTAAACTGAATGGAGATCGATTCAGAAAGGTTTCGAGCTAAAGTAATGATGGAGTTTATCTCATCTCTGTTTCTGTTAAACAAATTACTCGAGCCCAGCAATACATTGAGACGAGCCAAAATAGCGTCTATACTATTCAGTAGATTTTGTATACTGTTGGTTTTTTCTTTTACTAATTCCTGAAACTCATTTTCTACACCTGCTGCTGCAGAAGAACTTGAAGATTCACTGTTATTCACTTTGCTTTTAAGATATTTGGTGTGATCCATAGCAAAAATAGTTTATGCAGTTAAATTTGAGTTGTAAACATTAATTCTAATTTCACAAACATCAATCTATACTTACGAAGCATTATCACATGCTCGATAAATAAATTACTGGCAATTAATTACTTTATTTTTATATTATTAATTAATACAGGCCAAAGCCTCTGTTATGTTCTATTGCTATTCGTAATTTATCACTGAGTAACTCATAGCTGGGATAATTAGGCAATAACAAAATTTTTTCGCAGGTGTGAGCCCAGGGAAGCCGATCGGACGAACCACCAGGGTTGGTAATTTTAAGTTCAAGCGCTTCTGGTCCACCCAATGGAATTCGTTCTGAACCTGTGATAAACATCAATAGTTTTTTTTTGTCTGAGGAACTTAGCATTCTAAAACAAACCCAAAACCACTTGATAACTTGACTGTGTTCATCATATCCGTTTAAATATTGTGTAACTTTTTCTAAGTGGTTTACATCGATTTCACCTTCGATTCCGTTTAGTGTAAAAGCTAATTGTTCTGGAGTCAAATGCATAAATAGTGAACAAGCACAAGCTCGGTGGAAGCCGAGATAAAAGTTGTCAAATTGGGTTTCAATGTTGTATATCAAATAATAGTTCAATAACGCTTCTATGTATTCCAATACATTTTGATTGGTTACAAGCTTCTCCATAGAATATTCATTACCGTTTTTATCCTTTAACGGAATTTCTTGAAACTCACCTAAACAGTCTTTGGTGACGGAAAATGTTAAATTTAAGTTAGCTATGTTTGAATCACATGACATGAGGTAAAGCTTGTATATGTTATCCGCAATTTCTGGTTCAATTTCTTCTAGATCTTGCAGAGTGGGTGTGTATTCTGGAAGCTGAGTGAGGCTTTTGTACACCTTATCTATTTGTCGCAAATAAATAAATTTTGTTAAATCTGGGTTGTAATTGCTACGCAGTATGAGCTGATCTTTCTCCATAACTTTCAGAACTATAAAATTTGTGCTTGTTACTGGTTTAAACATGATGTATTGTTCGCTACTAGATTGATAGTTTTTAAAAATAGTCGATTTTAATAAGTTTCGGTTTGATGACAGTAATTTTCTAAAAAAAACTTTAGGGAAAGGAACTTTCAATGTGTCACCATTTAATAAAGCTAAACCGATAACAAATCCAATTAACTCAGTTTGAATAGCAAATCCTAATTCATACCCCGTTAACCAGTACGCTGTGTCTCTGGAGCAAAGCTTGAATAGTCCATATTCACAATTCAACAGTTCGTCAACTAATAAACTAAAAAATTCACGTCGTAATCCTCCAGAATCCACGCCAACTTCACCTAAAAATTCTACAACTAAGCGACTTTGTGTTAAAAATGACGCTATGGGACTTTTTAAACCCCAATTTTCGTTTAAAAAACTGTTCAGAGCGTCCTCAATGAGGTTTGATCTTCGGACACAAATCTTAGGAATTGGCACAAATTGATTGCAATTGCGCATATTATATTTTATAAATATATTTAGAGCAACTGATAACATTGTGTTTGTAAGAAGCTCGCAGTTCTGTATCATGCCAAGTAAATCAATTCCTGTATGCACAAGCATGTTACACGCATACCTGAACAAAGTGTCATCTTTCCAATTTTCCAGAACGAAGATTCGGTCTTCTAAAGCGTTTTGAAACATTCCTTTCATATCTCCTAATTTGCTAAATGCTTTCAAAGTGCTGCTGTTTTCATTAAAGTTTGAGTCCAACTTAAAGAAATTACAATTTTTTCTTGTTTGGTTAACTTTGTATAACAAATGCAAATAACTGTTTACATCACAGATATTATTTATATTATTAAATAAAAACTCATACATTTGATCTACCTGATCTAACTCAAAAGAAATCACATTTTGTTGCAGATTTTTTGCTAACCAGTTAGCTGCCGTCACTGCAGGCTTGATCAAAGCTTCGAAATCACGTACAGAAAGCTCAGAAAACAAACGACAGACATATTGTTCATCAAAATAAGCTACGCAGCGATATACTATGTAGCTAGATATATTGCTTGTATTGTTGATATGAGAGATCAGCAGTAAATAAAAAAATATTATTCTTAAATAATATGGATGTAGTATTGAAGGTGTAAAGTTGAAAACCTGAGGTTCGTTTTGACTTGTAGAAACAGATTTTGATTCTTTCAATAGCTGATACCCTAAAAAGTCTATCTGTTTTAACGTGTTGTTGAAAACTGCCAGAATTTTGTTTTCATCTTGCTTGTATAATTTAGTTAAGACTTGGAAAAAAAAATTTAAATGATTGTAGTCGATTTTTAAATCGTTGCTTTCTTTAATGTAATCTAAAACTGAAAAACCGTCAGTACGGGCAAAAGTAATTAAAAAAGGATTTCCTAACAACTTCAAACATATACGTTTCAATACTTCATTCAATTCAAGTTTATCAGCGGACGAACATTTATTAGTCAACTCATGATAACTAATTAAGGCCGAAGTGTATTCGCGAAATAAATCGCTACCAGCCAGATAATAATCTTTGATATATTCGTGAAAAATGTCCGTATTGAGTTCACAAAGATCGTGTTCTGATCGTATTTTTGAATTGTCAATTTTGCTAATACAACTCAATGTATGCGTAAAAACACTTCTAAAATCTACGGATTTCGAAATTTTACAAAAAAGAATTCCGACATATACAATGTCGAGTAAAGTATGTTTTATCGCCTCCTCATCAAGCATCCGATGTCTATATCTGTGGAATCTATTATATTAATAATAAAATAATGAGTTCATCTAATTTTTCAAATTTATTTCAAAGGCAGATTGTTTTAAACTGCGATAATTCCGCTAAATATACGGTTTGAAAAGTTAAGTGATTGCATATAGCAAAAATATCAATAAAAGTTGAGTAGGTATCTATCGTGAGATATGTTTATTCGCTTTCTTTGTGATTTTATTATGCCTGAAAAAACTTGTACACCGCCTAATATTTGTGTGCCGATCTTGAATTATGATATAATACTTAAACTTCAGTTTTCACAGTATGGAAAAGAGTCATATCGTTGATAAAATTTTATATTTATGTCGTTGACAATTGCTAATGCATGTGTAGTGTATAATTGAATAATTTTCGGTACCGACGGAAAATACTTGTTACACATTCATGAACAAATATATAATTAAGAATCAAAGTAACTAATTGCAGTCATGCTAATTTTAAAAAATACATGAGCAAGACGACTGATGTTGCGCTTTATAAATTAAAAATAATTATACTGAGCAAGATAAAACTAGCATTAAATTACAAATAAAAGTAATTAAGCTGAAAATTTTTACATCAAAAAAATATAAAATCAACTGCCACGTAGCACTTTTCAACAATATAATAGCTAACCTTTTACGATTTCCGTGTTGTAGTTAAAACACCGAGTGATGATTTATAGCTAATTTAAAATACTAACTTTTCGCACTTTATTTCATGCCAAGTTTGTATTTTCTATTAAAAAATAAAAGCCAATAAGACCAGTGTAGCGTTTGGTTTTTCAAAATAAGCAAATTGTAATTACAACAAGAAAAATTTGCTATAATGAGACAAAACATTTTTAATAAAAAAGAATACAACCTCTAATTCAAGTATGGCGACTGCTCAAAAAATCTTCAAAACAGGACGTATTTGCATTGCTCTTGCAGGCCGCATGGCCGGTAAGAAATGCGTTGTAATTTCTGCATACAACTCTGGAAACAAATACAGAACTTTTCCACATGCTTTCGTGTTAGGACTTGCTCAATCCCCTAAAAAAATTACTAAAAGAATGGGAGCTGAGAAAATCGAAAGAAGAAGCAACGTAAAAGTATTTTTAAAGAACATTAACTACGCTCACTTGATGCCAACTAGATATGTTTTATCAAGAGAATTAGATATCAACAACTTACTGGGTAACGCAAGCATCGTCACCAGAGAAGATTCACAAAAGCTCAAGATTGACATTGCTAAGGCTCTCAAAGAAAAGTTTTTGTCAGCTTCAGAAAGCAAGTGTGAAAGAGAGCTCGTGTTCTTACGTAAGCGCCTTAGATTTTAGTTTGTTAACTTTTTTCTTAAATTATTAAACTTTTTTTAACATAAGATATTTATATTATAAAGCTCTTGAATTTGTTTCTTGTTACTGAATTATTTATCTAAGTTGCAGTAAATAAGCCAGCTAAGCCGCTAGCAACTTCAGCTGGGTTTATCAATCGAAGAAAACTGATCGCGTCGGTAATTGGCGAAGCGGCTCGGTTCATGACATTAAGAACTCCATTAATGTCATCTTTGAAGTTAATGTGCTGAACCATTTCTTCGCTTGCAGAATCAAGGTTGGCTGGGATGCTCGTCAAAATCTTAGTCCAATCTGCCAGAGTTCCAGCGAGATTTTGAATGTTTGCACCTATACCTTCTGAAACCAGAGTCGGGTCTATCTTAGTAAGGGATTCGATATCAATGGGCAGACTGGCTTTCACATTCTTCATAAACATCATGACTATATTAGGGAATTGTCGTAACGTGGTTTTTCGCTTATTTTCTCTAATATCTGCAAAACCTCTTGGACAAATTTTACCTGCGTCAGCTCCTGTGATGATAGGGATGATATGTGCTATTGTTTCAATATATTTGTTCAAAAGCACTTCGTGAAGCGCTCCAAGCTGCCGATCCTTAAAGCCAATCGCGTTTATCACTGGTTTAACTTCAAAAGGGTTCGCAGATGACTTTAATAGTAAAGGGTTAATAGCTGGAAGTGATGCAATTCGTTCTCCTAAGTTAAGCTTTACATTATGCAAAAGGGTAAGAGGGAATAAGATATTACTCTTAGTTTCCATTAAACCCGTGGCTCCTTCATTGGTAGTCAGTAATTCTGTGCAAACATATTTGTATGGTGGAGCCAGATCCAAGCAACAGTCAGAACCAGAAGGGCAAACATCTGGATATTTTTCACATTCGTTTAAATTTTTGCAGGTAAAGTTATCGGCGTTTTCCCATCCGTCTTTCTCAGAACATTCGCATCTGTAGGAACCTATGGTGTTTACACACTTTGAATGTATAGGACAGTTGTGAGTGTTTAATTCACATTCATCAATGTCTTCGCAAAAGTTATCTTCACCTAATCTAAACCCTGGCTTGCAAATACACTCCGTACTTGAAAAACGATTCAGACAGATACCATTCTTCCGATCACAAACGTTCAGTTTGGCATTCTCATCTATACAGGCATTTCGTAAGCGGCAAATTCCGTGTTCGAAAATCAGTTTAGGATCATTACATGTGCAAACAAACGATCCTGGAGTGTTTACACAGTTAGCATCTGCGTTTCCACATGCTGTTGGAAGTAAACATTCGTTAATGTCTTCGCAATGATTGGTTTTTTGCGAAAATTTGTAGCCTGGTTTGCATCTACATTCAAAACTACCATGCGTGTTGTGACATAATTCACTATCAAGTCGACAGTCATGTGTTTCCGTATGGCATTCGTTTATGTCTAAACATCCTGTGCCTTCTTTCTTCCCGTCTCCAGAGAAACCTAAAAGTAATCAATTGTACGTTAACATACCTTTTGGACAAACACAAAAAGGTTTTCCAATTATTGGAGCTTTAGGGTCAATTTTACATTCGGCTTCGTCCACGCAAGGGTTGTCTCTTTCACACAAAGTCGGTATTCTAGCAAGGCTTTGAATGCCAATCAGTGTAAGTATACTAATAATATATTTGTGAGATTTCATGTTGGTGATTCCTGACCAGTACAAACAAAAATAGCACAAGTTTTATTACACGTTAGAGATCACATAAAAAATTTTGAACAGACCGCTCATTTAGTTTTTTAAAAGGAATTTGAATAGGTAGTTTCTTCCAAATTTCACTGTAATAACTGATTGCATCTTCAGTTGAACTGCTTGAAGTTAACTTTTCTTTTCTAAGATTCAATATGTAAGTAAATAAATCGAGCTTTGTTTCTTGCGTTGCTTCTACATTACGATTTAGATCTCTGTTTTGCCTCAGCTGTGATAACTTTTCCTTTTTTTCCTCGAGAATTTCTTTGCGTTTAATATGTTCTTGAATGTTTTTTTTTTCGTTCGCCGTCACAGATTTTGAACTGGCAGCTTTGGCTTTCAGCATGCTCAATAGTTTTATAGTTGATTGAGTATAGGTTAGTTTCCATTTATAGTAAGCGTTTTCTTCTAAATTTTTGTTGTTTAAAGTTATCATAGCTTTTTCCAACGACTTGGGGGAAGTGAACGATATGAAAACTCGACGTTCATTGTTAAAAGCTGAGAATTTAATATTGCTTAATTTGAGATTTCCAACTAAAACTCAGTTGGCAGCAAACTTACATTCACTGAAAATCCGATAATAGTCATACGTCTCGTAGTGAATGGGAGCGTTTTCAACAATCAACGTAAATAACGATTTAGAAAAGTTTTTCTCTGATTGTTGAGTCATTATTGACTATCCGCTTACATTTTTATTTTGCGTGGCATATTTAAATATAATTAAATCTCTACTGGTTAAAAAATAACCCGAGATTGCCGGGTGCATTGGTTGTAAAAAGGTTATACAGTTAACACAAAAATTTCGTTTATCTTGTCCGAAATATCACTGAAGTAACAATTGGAAGTGGTGGCTCGGAAAATAGATTTGTTTCCTCCTCCACGCGTTGTTTTGCCTTCAAACAAGTGCTCTTTTATGACTTTAGCGTCGAATTTCTCAGAATTAGTAACAATTATGGAAAGGAGATCAGAAGCGGATTGTGCAAACGCTAAGATAGGCAGGTTAGTTCGTGTCTTGAGTCTGGCTACCATTTCTTCTAATATCTTGAAGTTATCAGTTTGTTCAGGGAAAACAGCTACAACATAAGGCACTTCGTTGAGCTCGAGAGCGTCACAATACTCGATTGCTTTTTTTTTCAGTTCATTAAGATTTTTCTTTTTCGAGGCGGCAAGCTTTTTTTGTAATTCGATAATAGTGGCGTTGAAAAGCCTCTTGGTCAATAGTGACAAGTTACCGAGTTTTTCAGAATATGCGGTTCTGACCTTGAGTAAATCCTCGCTTTGTATGTTTTTATTAGATTTAATGGTTGAAATATCATTCGTTAATTGTTCGTGAAGGTCTATGGCGTCTTGAGCCGTTTTTCCACAAACAGCCGTTATTCTTCTAATTCCTTTAGAAACGCTTTCTTCATTTGTTAAAACGATGCGTGACAATTCTCGTGTGTTTTTGACATGAGTTCCTCCGCAAAGTTCGGCGGAGTAAGAAAAAGCAGATTTATTGTCGTTTAAAAGTTCACTGAGTGTGACGCCGATTGAAACAACACGAACTACTTCGGGATACTTTTCTCCAAAGACGCATCGAAGTCCTGGGATGTTGATAACCTTATTTTTCTCGTTTTCCTCAGTGAAGACGTCTAGTTCAGCGTCAATCATTTTTTGCATTTCATCTTCCAATTTCTTTACAGCTGCGTCAGAAAAAGGTTCGTAAGCATCGTAATCGAACTTAAGCCGGTTAGGCTCAACTAAACTTCCTTTCTGTTCAAAAGGGTAGGCTAGCACTTGGCGCAACGCGTTGTTAAGTACGTGAGTTGCACTATGGTGAGAGGAAAGCTGGAAACGTCGTTCGTAGTCGACAGTCAAAGAACAGAGGTTTCCAGTTTCAAAAGTCGCGTCAGTCACCAGAATCTTGTGTAAAACAAACGATCCGTGTATCAGAACGTTTTCAATGATGGCTAAAGCATTGGTAGAACGACAATTACCCATATCTGATAGTTGTCCACCACTTTCAGCGTAGAAATTGGTTTTGTCAAATACAAACCAGTAGGCTTCGTCGGATTTTTTTGCAACGTTGCACAAATTTCCATTTTTCAAAATAGCTAATAACTTGACGTTTTCCATAACAGTGTTGTGTTCGTTTACGTCGTACTTGAAAGAGTCATTACTGGGGGGGATTTGCAGTTGTTCACTTAAAAAGTGTAGGGTTTCTGGTTTGATCAGTTCTTTAGCAGCGGCGAAACTCTTGGCGTTGCTGACTTGCACATGTAGCGTCATTTCCTTGTGGAATTCATCAAGATTCGGTACAATTCCCTTTTCCTTACAAAGGTTGATAGAAAGGTCGATTGGGAAACCGTAAGTCGTGAACAAACTAAAAAGTGTTTTGCCATCTAGGACGTTTGCCGCGAGTTTGTCAACGGAATTGTTGAAAAGCTTTAATCCGATAGAAAGCGTCTTTATGAATTGTGTTTCTTCTTCCAAGACTATTTTACATATATTATCTTTGGTTTTTATCAAATTGGGAAAAGCACAACCCAGGATATCAGAAATCGTGTCGACTAATTCGTACAACCATGGTACGTTTGAGTTTGAGAGTTTTTGTCCAGCATAAACAGCTCTTCTCAAAATACGTCTTATGACGTATCCTCTTCCTTCGTTTGAAGGCAGAACGCCGTCTGATATGGCGACAACAACAGCTCGCATGTGATCTGCAACTATTCTGTAAGCGATGTCGATTTCGGCGTTTTTTTCGTCTCCTATTGCTCCGCTGTATTTATGAGCTAAGTTGGAACACAAGGAGAAGATTTTCTCAAAAATTGGTATAAACAAGTCGGTGTCGTAGTTGCTCGTAACGTTATTTAATATGCTCAGTAGTCGTTCCAACCCCATACCCGTATCGACGCATCTGCCAGGAAGTTCAGTCAGTTGTCCGTTCGCTTCTCGGTTCATTTGCATAAATACTAGGTTCCAAATTTCCAATACATTAGGGTCGTCTTTGTTCACCAAATTCGCCGCGTTCCGGTCGCCGATTCTATCGTAGTGAATTTCTGTGCACGGGCCACAGGGACCAACGTCGCCCATTTCCCAGAAATTGTCCGCAGCAGATCCGGGGATAATGTGATCTTCAGGAAGGTATTTAAGCCAAATTTGTTTGGTTTCGAGGTCAGGTTTTAAGTTTTGTTTTTCGTCTCCTTCAAAGTAAGTTACGTAAAGCCGTTCAGGTTTGATTCCAAACTCTTGTGTAAAACACTCCCAGGCAAGACAAATGGCTTTCTCTTTGAAGTAGTCTCTAAAAGACCAGTTTCCCAACATCTCGAAAAAAGTGTGGTGGTAAACGTCTTTTCCAACATCTTCCAAGTCGTTGTGTTTTCCACCGGCGCGAATGCACTTCTGCGAATTTGCCACTCGTTTCAATTTTCTCAACTCAGACCCTAATGCAAGTTTTCCGAGAAAAATGTCTTTGAATTGGCACATTCCTGCGTTTACGAAAAGGAGAGTCTTGTCAGATTCTATGCTTATTGGCGAAGAAGGATAGAACATGTGTTCTCTCGCTGCGAAAAAGTTTATGAATTTTTCACGACATTCTTTGCTTGAAATCACATTCATACTGCAGTTACGAATATTATAATGTTTTCTATAAATTAAAATAAAACCGGATTTATATGATGAAAAAGACTCTCTTAAAATTTTTTTGAATCCAGCAACTTTGAGTGAAAGTGGTACCTATTTGTTATAAATCGAAATCACACACATACGATGTTATCTTCCGCTGGGAGATGAATTTGAATCAGATTAATCTGATTTTCCCTTCATAGTTGGGTTACCAATTACATTTTTGTGTTCTTTATATTTTTGTTGTATGTCTTGTATTTTTTTATAATCAGCGTGACCCTCTTCGTCGAGCGGAATGCTTGTTTTGTGTTTAGAAAAGGGCGGGCTTAAAATTTTTTCTGGTTGACAACACGAAGCAAGTAAAACCAAGTCCTGATTGATCTCACCGCATTTAGTCAGAACTTTAACATTTCCGTCTGTGTGGCAGTTGACTGCTCTTATTACTGGCGAATCAATTCTAGTAATCGGGTCAAGCGGAACTGGGTATATACCGTCTTTATGTTCAGCAATATACGTTGGGATGTCGTTTTTAGTGACCTTCTTTCCGTCTAAAAGTCCGGCTGAAAAAAAATCGTGGGCTGTATCATGCATTTGAGGAGCAGTAGTTTGGTCGACTTGCAGAAGTTTAGGTGGTATATAGTGAATTGGTTTGGACTTTATAATCTTCTTAGTAACTTCAGGTAAGTTGGCGGTATCGATAAGTTTAGTACAGGAATCAGGGTCGATTTCAACCATTTGGATTTGGATATCCACGTCTTCTGCAAATTTGATCGTCTTGAAATCACTCGCTGACGTAGTTAAGTATATTTGTCCATCGGTAACATTGGTTAGGTTTATGGTGTCGCCTTCCTTATATATATTCATGTTTCCGGTTGTCATGGCTGGAGAAGCCAGTTCAGACAGTTGTATAGGCTTGTTATCGGCATTCAACACAGGGCTTCCGTCTTTGCCTAGAATAGTGTTGTCGATTTCTGAAATTCTGCATTCAACTCCATCTTCTGTGAAAATAAGGCTCTTATCAACGTTAGATTTCTCGTATTGATTCATAAGTTCAATATATTCGTGGATCGACTTCTCGTCTGGAATGCTCGTGTATATCTTTCCACTTGGCGTGGGTAGTTTCATGCCAGGCTTGTAGTTAATGTCGATAACTTTTTCAACGTAGTTGGGTACGTAGAAAGGTACTTCCTTTTCAATAATGTGTTCAACGTCATTGTAAACCACAACCGGAACTTCAACAATTTTAGATTTAACGACAGGCTTGGCCATTTTGATAATTCGTTTAATGATAATTTCTTCTTGGACGGGAACAAGCTTTGGAGGTTTTTTAAGGTGAACGTCAATGGGAGTTTCAACATAATTAATACCAGCGGGCAATTCAATGATGTTATTCCGTTTTGTTTCTTTGTATTTGTATTTCGGAATCTCACATATATTGTCTTCGAGCACGGGAACTATTTTATTTACAATAGCAGCCTGCGGAATGTTGAAAAAGTGATGGTTTTTCACTATAACTTCGTCATCCACAATTCTATTGTACACACGCTGTTTTGGAACAAATTTTTGATGCTCGTGGATTATGTGAGATTTTTCAAATTTTTCTGGCAGGGAATCCAAAAGTTCGTCGGGCAGCGGAATCGCGCCGTACGCAGTCATAGCTACATATTCAGAGTCAGTTTTTTTGATATCTTTTGCATATTTGTTGAATTGCTCATCAGTTAGCTGATATTTATATTCTTTGGACTTTGCATACGCATTGGGATCGGATTGATTAATTCTTGAGTCTTCGTTTTTTTCCTCGTTTAATGCATCGTTGTCAAAGGAAATAGTAGCGTAACCAGTCGGCTCGACTAACACTGGAGCTTTGCCCCGTGAAATTGATGGGTTATCCGGCAACGGGGGTGCTAGGCCGGTTTCTTCGAGATTATTATATAATTTTTCGACATTATAAACCTTATCGTCAATTTCTTCTTTGGCTTTCGCTTTGGCAGTGATGTTTACCGCTGTTACTTCATTTTTTTTTAAGTATGTAATTTTATGATCGCTTTTACCAGCCATAACAAAATATTTTATCAAACATGCACGTATGCTTCAAAATAGCACCATGATCAACATGCACTGTTGAAGGCTTAAACCTTTATTAATAGCTTAATCTTCATTGGTAAAATTTAGATTCAAGCAAAAGATTTATTATTTATTATTTTTACATTTTATGTAAAATTTAATCTCGAATATTTAAGTATAAGTTTGCAACAAATGCTGCTGGAAAATAAATTACACTTTGATTATTGCACTTATTCTAAATAAGTTCAGTTCTATATTTAAATCATAGTTTGTTAGTATATTATGTATTCATGACAAGCTGTATGCTAAAATATGTACAGTACAGCAAAGCGAATAATTTTTCTAGGCCGAATAGTAAGAATGTTCGACTTTCTAATCAAGTTTTTTTATAGTTTTAAATTCAAAAAACAATTAAACGAAGAATCTTACTTGTACTTTCCGTCAAATAACTTAGATTTAGCTAAAGGGCATGAAATATCTTTTAAATACAGTCACAAGTACATTGCTGGCCCTAACACAGTAAACAACATGCGCTATTCATGGATGTCGTTCCTGCCTTATTCGCTATTTAACCAATTTCGTCACTTCTTTAATCTATTTTATTTAATAGTAGGGTGTTCACAGCTAATTCCACAGTTAATGATTGGATCTTTTTATACTTTTGCAATCCCGTTAGCGTTTGTGGTTATTCTGTCTTTGTGTACAGAATTTTTAGACGAATTAAAACGTTATAAACGAGACAAAATAATAAACAATCATTCCTACGAGGTGTTACAAACTAGCATAAACAATGTTGTTCATTACAGGTTTATACGTTCCGAAGAAATAATGGTAGGACACATTCTTCGTTTACATTCAGGGGACAGAGTGCCTTGCGACTGTTTGTTATTGAAGACATTAAACGGCGTAGGTTCTACATTTGTGAGAACTGACCAACTTGATGGAGAAACCGATTGGAAACTAAAGTATGCTTTGGCTACAACAGAATCAACGAACATAGCAGAATGGACAAATATGAAAGGCGTCATCGAGATTCCAGCACCAAATTCGAACATTCACGAGTTTGAAGGCAAGTGTACATACGCTAATTCTAAAAATGAAACTGTTGTTGAGCGAATTTCTCTGATCAATATGCTTTGGGGTAACGTTGTCGTGACTTCGGGGCCTGTGTTTGCATTATCTATTTACACTGGACAGAACATGAGATCTTCTTTACAATCAGAAACATCAAAAAAAAAAGTTATGATTTTTTACGAAGAGATAAACCACATCTGCAAAATATTAGTCTTTATTTTGATAATAATGTCATTACTATTAACGCTGTCGCGTCCAATTTCGTCAAGATCGGCAATTTACTTTATTAGATTCATCCTATTACTTACATGTATCATTCCTATCTCTCTTCGAGTTAATTTAGACACAGCAAAATTTGTGTATAAATATTATATAGAAAATGACCACGAACTTTACGGAGCAAAAGTGAGAAATTCTGACATAAATGAAGAACTTGGACGTGTTGACATTTTACTTACAGATAAAACGGGAACGTTGACGCAAAACGATATGTCTTTAGCCGCCCTTTTGTTTAATAATAATTACATAAATTTGAAGCGTGAAATATTTCATTTGAATTTTGAAAACATTCATCTGCAATCACTGATTGATTACGACGCTAGAGCGAACTCGTCATTATGGCATTTTGTTACATGCATTGCGCTTTGTCACGGAGTTTATCCAGTTGCGAGGGAAGATTCTACACATAGAATATCTTATCAAGCGAGTTCTCCAGACGAAATAGCTCTGCTGAATTGGTGTAGCGAAAACGGCTTAAGTCTCACTGAGCATTCTATTAGCCATATGACATTGAAATATACTATAAATCCAAAAAAAGAGTACTGCACAACTGTAAATGTTCTCCAGACGTTCCAATTTAGCAGTACGAGAAAAAGAATGGGAGTAATAGTGAAAGATCCAGTTTCACAAAAAATTATTTATATTGTCAAAGGTGCTGACACTGTGATTTCGTCTTTTAGCAACGAGCCTAATTATTGGTTGCAAGAATCATTGGAGACACTAAGTCGCCAAGGTTTGAGAAATCTGGTATACGCATATAAAGAGCTTTCACCGTACTATTATGAAACTATGAAGCAAGAATTTGACGATGCCATTATGCAAATGAGCAATAGAGGAACGCGAATAGATGAAATAGTAGACAAATATTTAGATTGTGATCTCAAATTGATTGGAGCTACAGCCGTTGACGACAAGTTGCAATTAGAAGTACCGCAAACGATTGAGTGCTTAATTCAAGCTGGAATAAAAGTATGGATGTTAACAGGAGACAAGCTTGAAACTGCCTTATCAATTGCCACTTCGTCCAGTCTTAAAAGACGAATTGATATTTTTTTTGAGTTTACGCAAGCTACGTGCCAAGATCTAGAATTCTTTGTCTATAGAATCTATCAATTATCTAGACATCGTTCAAAAAATTGCGTGATTTGTGTTGACAGTTTCGTCATTGATTTAATCAATAGATTATATCATCTTGCTAAGACACAGGATTATTACCGCAAAATATTATCAAACTTTATTATGGTTTGTTATTCGAAACGTGCGGTTATATTCACAAGATGTAGTCCATACCAAAAAAAGGAACTAGTTGAGATAATTAAATTTTTGTTGTCAAAAATGCGAATTTGTGCGATTGGAGATGGCGGTAATGATGTTCCTATGCTGCAGGCAGCGCATTGTGGAATTGGAATTGAGGGTAAGGAGGGGCGTCAAGCTGCCTTGATTTCTGATGTGAGTGTACATACGTTTAAACAACTGAAGCCTCTTTTGTTATATCATGGTCGTTTAGCGCAATTTAGGTCTCACAAACTAAGCAGTTTTATCATTCACCGCGGCCTTATCATTGGAATAATACAGATCTACTTTAGCGTCATTTTTTATTTTACGCCGATCCCAATTTTTCAAAGCTGGTTACTAATTGGATATTCTACATACTACACAATGGCGGCAGGGTTTGCCCAGCTGTCTGACAAAGATGTTGAAAGAGAAACAATTTATTCATTCCCAGAATTGTATATTCGAGACAGTAACGATGATTTGCGAACTTTAAAAGAGTTAAGATTTGCTAAAATCTTAATCTTGAGTATTTACCAAGGTTCGATGATAATGTTGCTTTCTTTATTATTGTTTGAAAACGAACTAGTGAATTTTGTTAGTATCGTATTCACATCGCTTGTATTTGTAGAGCTTTTAAACATAGGAAGTGGAGTTGAAACTTGGAATAAACTTATTATAAGCAGTTTAACTCTAAGTATCTCGCTTTATACAGTTAGTATTGTATTTTTAAAAGACATATTTAATATTGATTTTATGTTGAACAAGACATTCACGATCAAAGTTGTTTTAATTACGCTCGGCGCATGGATTCCGTATCATATTTACCACATATTGTCACGAATAATCAAGCCTGCTCGATATAGAAAACTGCAAAATGTTATTTAATTATACATCATAATCAGATGAATGAGAGGACATTTCGTCAATTGAATATTTGTGAACATAAAGATCTTTCAAATTTTTTTTTTTGAAATTGGGGGTGTGTTTACTTGCTGCTAGTATTAACTCTTCAAAGCTGTAATCTGAAGGTTTGTTACGTAAAGCGTAAGATCCTCCGTCTCTCTCTAAATTGTGAACTTTATTAAGTAAGTGATAAGTGTCTTCTATAGTTGGCAATTTAGTTATTAAAACATACAGTATTATTTTTAATATCGCAGCTAAAACTTGGATAACAGTAAAAAAAATGTATCCCGTGCTGAGCGTGTTTAACATTTCTGCACTAATTGCAGAAACGCCATCTACATCTAAAATTGGGTGAGATATCGAACCAGTTATAGTGGCATATAATACCGGCTGAAAAATATCGCTTAACACACTTATTATAATTGCTGAAGTAATTAGAAGTTTCGCTCTGGCTATTATTGGTTGTTTAATGAACTTGGCTACTAGGAAGATGGAATAAAGACAAGCCAATAATGATATTATGCTAGAAATGAATGTAGCTATTGTGCCGTACATAACACTCTGCGCATTGAAGTACATGAAACCAAATGATTTTATGTTTAAAGACAAATCATTGAGTTTTCTTGGTGCTGCCAAAACGCTTGTATTATTTATTTTCTCGACGATTTGTTTACACTGATCAATGTTTTGAGCAGATTTTCCAATTATGTCTGCAAAAGTAGAAGATTTACAAGCGCTTTGAGCCGTCCACTTAAACATATTGACTTGGAGTTCAATAGGATAATTAGTGAAAAATTTAAATGAATACGAGTGAAATTTGTCGAGAAAAAATGAGTAGATTTGAAAAGCAGCCAGAACTGCTAACAGTATCAAATACGTTATGCACAAATATTTTCTCTTGCGCTTTAAATAGCTTATTATCTGAAGATGCTTCGACGGCATAGAGTCAGTAGATAAGATATTTAAACTTTATATCACGTTATTATCAAAAAAACGCATGCAATGAAAACTGTAAGTGTGTTTCAGACAAATGCCTCAGAATCATCAAGAACAAAGATTCACTTTGTCAGATTCGTCGTCTAATTTTGTCATCATTATATCTTAATGACATGACATATTTTTATGCATAATAAATAAAAACAGAAAAACTATTTGTGTAGACAATACGCCTTCAGTGGAGACAAATCGAAATATCTGATGGTTTCAATTGGGGAACTAAATAATTATATAAATAATAATGAAGTACACCGTCTCCTCGTTCAAATAATAACTCGTTAAAATATTTTTTGTTGTTTTCTATGTCCAGTGCGTTAAACACGTCTTGATTGACAAGTTTTGCAGCTATTACTGCATTCTGTAACAACTTTTTTTTATCCATAGTTTCACCATATGCTGAGTAATAATAGGCAGTTTTTATGTTATCAAGTTCTCTTCCGTTTATTAAAATTAAAGTATCGAATGTGACAAAACTGAAATAATCAGTAACGACATCGTTCGTTTCTTTGACATAAGTGTAGACTATTTTTGGTCGTGGAAGGAACAGTCGTTCTATGGTTTCTTTCGTGTGCTTTTGATAAATTTTAGAATTGTAGGTTCTCATGCCTAAATGGTACAATTCCAGCACGCGTGCACAGTCTTTTTCTTCCATCAAGCGAATTCCTTCAGCTGTAAATTTGTCTGGTAACACATATTTTTCTTCTTTCTCAACTTTTGGGCAAAAGTTGTATGAGGTTAATTTACGGTGGTTGATTGGCCTGTGATAATATCTACACTCAACAATAGACCCAGGCAGCTTGGTTCCGGTAGTGTAAATAGCGTATGCTATGCCGTGCAAATTAGCTCTTCTTGTTAATTCTCGAATCATGATAGGAGCCAGTCGACGGGATCGCAATTCTTTATGGACACAAAGAAAGTTTACTTCAACTACTTTATCTAACTGTTTCGATAATACTTGCAAAGAAATAGTTACTCCAGAAATAAACGCAAGTAAGTGCTCGTTATAAAAAACTCCAATATTCCAGGACGGAAGCTCGAGTGTCGAGGAATTGTTTAAATTGTATTTTAGAAAATCCTTACTGTAATGCAAACGAAAAAACGCATCTGAATCTTCCACATAATGAAGTTTGAGTAAAGAGTACAGTTGGTCTAAATCGTCTTTATTTTCAATGTCCAAGATTCTCCATTCAAACCTAGGAGGCAGCTCATACGGGTAATCACGTACTAAGTTCGAAATTGGTTTGATTGTCCCAATTGAATTCTCATCAACGTCGAGTTTAAATTTATTCTGATTGTTTTTTACCGGCTGTGTGGACCAAAAAACATGTTTTGATTCATCCATGCTGATTATTTTTTACAAACAGAATTTTAAGGTCAAAAAAAATAATTATGTATTTATCGTTACAACAAAGAATGAAAAATTAACTAGTTGAATTACATGTAGCTATCTGTCGTGTCCGAATGAGTGCGCAGCACACAGTATTATATTGATAATTTTTTAAAATAATATAAAAAATAAATGACTATAATAAGCGATCTAAAAATACCAGGAGGTGTAGTTGTTGGAGACCAAGTCCGTGAAATTTTCAACTATGCTCAAACCCACAACTTTGCAATTCCAGCCATTAACGTGACCTCGTCAAGTACGGTCGTGGCATGCTTGGATGCAGCACGAGAAGTTGGATGTCCGATAATCATTCAGGTTTCTCATGGTGGTGCGGCTTCATTCGTCGGAAAAGGTTTGGACAACACTTCTAACAACGCGTCAGCTCAAGGTAGCATCGCTGCAGCAAAGTTCGTGCGTCAAATGGCTAAAGTTTATAATGTTCCAGTTATTATGCATTCAGATCACTGTGCCAAAAAAATATTGGGCTGGCTCGACAAAATGATCGCTGCCGACGAAGAACACTTCAAGGAGTTCGGTGTTCCTCTTTTTTCGTCACATATGATTGATCTTTCTGAAGAAACTAAACAAGACAACATTAATCTTTCATTTAAGTATTTGCAAAAAACTGCTAAGATTAACAGCTGGTTGGAAATGGAAATTGGTATCACTGGCGGTGAAGAAGATGGAGTGAACAACGAAAGCGTTGACAACGCGAGTCTTTACACACAGCCTGAAGATATTTACGATATCTACAAAAAATTTTCGACTGTCACAGATCTTTTCAGCATAGCGGCTGGATTCGGAAACGTCCATGGAGTTTACAAGCCAGGTAACGTCAAACTCCACCCAGAGCTCCTTGGCAAGCACCAGGATTATGTGAAAAAGATGATTAATTCGAAAAAAGATAAACCCGTTTATTTCGTTTTCCACGGAGGAAGCGGATCAACACCCGAAGAAATTAAAACGGCCGTAAAATATGGAGTCGTTAAAATGAACATAGATACAGATACCCAATGGGCTTACTGCAGTGGGCTACGAGACTATTTCCAGAAAAATAGGGACTATGTCCAAACCCAGGTTGGTAACCCTGATGGTCCTGAGAAGCCCAACAAAAAGTACTACGATCCTCGTGTTTTTATTCGTCAAGCTGAGGTTTATATGACGAAGAGAATCGTTGAAGCCTACAAAAACTTAAACGTTACTAATTAAGTGATAATTTTCGTTGTGAATTATATATAATATAATTGTATGTATGGGTTGTTTTTAACTTCTTCTCGTGGGGTCGCGTTGAATTTCTTGTCTAAATTCAGTATCGTTCGTATGATCGACGTCGTGGAGTTTGTTCGATGGATGGACAAACAGGTAGTCATACGGAGTGTCTTCAGGATAATCTAATCCGAAAAACTCAGTTTTTGTGAACACAGCCTTTTCGACAGCCGATTCCGGCCCAACAACTCGGTTTAGTGATTTAGCTGCTTCTGTGCCAATGATCTTATCAAAAAGGCCCTGTAAAAATCTCTGAACTGGTTCTATATACGAGAGATCCATGAGTTCGGTGTCTGTTTTTTGCAATAAGTCAGATTCAAAATTATTTTGGTCATCAATTTCTGATGCTAATGCTAATTCAAGCGATAATTCGTTTTCTATTTTTCGGTTCAGTATTTCGTTGACAACTTCGTTTTCTTCGAAAAATTTACCTTTGGGATAATCTTTGAGCTGTCTTTCGTTTCTGCGAATAGAAGATATGATATCCGGTCCGAAAAAAACCGAGCCAGCGCTTTTTTCAGAAAGTTTTCTGTCACCGAGACTCTTTTCTGCCGCTTGCTGAACGGCATCAATAGAAGTAAAGTCGTCAACTGTGATTACGGTTGGTTTCAATTCCAGCGGCGGATCTGTCGGAAATTCAGACACTTTCGTTAAATGAAATACTACGCGTCCGTCAGCTGGGCTGATGATGGAGATCGTACTGACTCCTTTGTTTATTCTGCCATACCAGCCTAGTTGAATGAAACGATCGTCTGAACTGAACTGGTTTTTTTCAAAGGGCAAAGTTTCATCTAAAAATAACGCTGTGCTGAGTCTCACGTGAGGTATACCGTGAGTGTCTTCGTTGTACCAATATGCGTTAGGGGTGGTGACCACAAAAGAATTGAAGCCTTTTTGTTTGAATTTGTGTAGTTTTACTTTGCTTCCGTTTATTTTTTTCCACCCACCCCGCAGATCCAAAATATCTTTTTCGTGAGCTTTTTTCGGAAATCGCTTCATCAACGACTGATGGTTACCATGGTGGCGTAAAAACATGGAGCGTCCAGACTTGTCAACAAAGCCTTCTGCAGTTTCGAATATTACAGAAACGCTGTCATCAATGTTTACAAAAGCTCTGTGAACCAGTCCAGTCGCAGCAGCAGTGTTAGCAGTGACGACAAAAATATTTCCCGTCATGTATTTTGTTTTCAACACTGCGTCTGTTCGTTTAATACTAAAAATAAACGGCTCAGAGCTGAAAGTACCTTTATAAGGAATGACGTTTTGCTTGAAAACATATGTCAGCTCCCACACACCTGATATATCCCAAGTACAACCTCGGTACGGGTTGCCGGCTAAACGAATACCAGTGAGGTTATCTATGATGCAATGGCATGTAGGCACGCCTCCTAATAGTAAGCAGTGAGCTCCAGGCCCACATCGAGCTTTCTTACTGTCTTCTGTACTACAAACTGAGTGCAATTCGGTTGTAAGAGAGCCTACTGAATTCCCTAAGACAGCGTCGTGCTCTAAAGCGAATTGGGCAAAACAAATACGTGCTAGTCCTACATAAATGATAATAATTGATTTCATAAAAATTTAATCTAGATTAGAACGATATGTGTGAAACAACAAAGAAAAAAAAACTAAATTTTTGCCGCCAGTCTTAATTATATATTAACTTGTATTTGTGGCTGCAAAACATGCAGTCGATCGTCGCGATGTATTTAAATTCGTTTAAATAATTTTCTGACCCGCATCGACACAAGATGCAGATCTGAGAACCCAAATCGATGACTTGCCAAGTCTCAATTAATTTTATTTCGTCTGGAGATATCAAATCGTTGGGAACGAGGACGTTTATATAGTTGGTCTCAACTTCGCTACTGCTATTTTGTTGGGCAATATTTTCTTTGTTTAATAATTTATTTAACAGCAGTTCATAGGCCTGGACCAAAACGGTAAAATGATCTTCAGGATTGAAATTCGCGAAAATTTCAGGAATTTGTTTGGCCGCTGAGCTCTGTTGTTTGTCAGGATGTACTAACAAAGCCAAGTTGTTAAACTGTTTTTTTAAATAAGAAATCGATAACTCGTCAACGCATTTAATATCCAGAATTTTCAAAGATGCTTTTTCGTCGATTTTCATAGAGATAAAATTTGTCTCAAAAATTTAAAGTTTTATTTTCAAAACGAAAAAAATCACAAAAAATTTATAGCCAATATTACAAACTAGCCACCTAATTAAATAAACTTCCCCATTCGAAGCCTTTCTGTAGGGAAATCCGGGAAATTCATTTTAATGTCTTAAAATTGAATGAATCATTCAAGTTACATACATCAATGTAACCGGCAAGGATCTAAATTAGAACCGACCCACGATGAGGTCACATCGTTATGGGAAAAACTAAATGCGCTTAACCTTTTTGATTACGCGTCTGATTTGATGGCTAGTTACACTACTGGATCGCTAGATAGGTACCAGTTTAACACCTATCGCGAGTTCATGCATCTTCCTCGAAAGTCCGGGGCGAGCTCCCAAAACGAGCAGTCCACGGAAGGCGAATTCAACAGCGACACGCACTGTTACATTTGCAAACGACTCAAACCCAGCGTCGAAATTTCTAACAACTTTTCATTTGTAGATTTAGCTCTGACAGACATCAAAGATAATGAACTCAAAGCCACTGTTTTCGAGTGCAGCATTGAAGAACTTAAACAATTAGTTGTTAGTAAATTAATCCACGAAGATTTCGTCGTGGATATGAAAAACTTTTTGGTGGTAAGTTAAACGAGCAAAAATTTTTCAGCGTGGTTTTATCCCAGAGAGGTTTTAAACTCTCGCATAGCGCTAAATAAAAATTAACATTTTAAGAAATTAATATATATATATATACCGACTTTTGCGGTGATAACAAATTATAAACTGCGTACTGTCATACGATATTGTTAACTACATAATTCTTGTGATTATTCATACTAAAAGACTAACTAAACTAGTTTTATTTATACTAAATTAAATTTTCCAATCTGTCAACCAGATTGTGTCGTTAATAAGACCGGAACATCTTATTCTAAAACATATTAGGTCTTGAAACTTACATATTGACTCGTTGATTTTCTTGGTATGGGGCGTACGCCATTGGGTCTAGCGATTTGCCTGAATTATACGGATAAGAATAGTCCATGCAGTGATGGGGTTGGAATGTACTGTTGAAATTGTCTATCATACTTAAATCAACCAGTGGTAAATTTTTGTCTAGCCCATTAAAGGTCTGAGCTGACGTCTTGAAAAAGTCCGTGCAAGAGACCTCGTTATAAATGTTGTAATTATAATCGGCTTGTGAACTAAAGTGAGGTTTTTTTACTAGATTAGACGGAAGTTTTTCTTGGTACTGGTTCGAACATTGAAGCATGGTGTTTTCTCCACAACTTTTAATATTTTCTTTGTACCACTGGTAAGAATGATCCAGCGACTCATTGGGTGTAGAGTACGAAAGACAAGGAAAGCTCGGCGACTGGATGCTGAAGTCTTCGCGCAAAACAAACATAATAGCTTTAATATCTAGACGTTCGAATTCAAAGACTATAACCTTAGGAAGTTTTTGATTTAAAAGAAACGGAGGCAAAATCAGATCTGTGTCGTATCTGCGGACGGGCTTGATCAACAAATCCCCAAGTTGAACTGACAAGGCAGTCACGTTGGTGAAATGGTCTCGTCTGCCGCCCAATATGTTATAAGTACAGTGTCTTTTGTCGTTAGTAGAGGAAATTAGCAGCCCACCATTATATAAGGCTTCTTCGAACTCGTTCTCGGATAAAATTGCATGAGTAATATTCAGAATTTCGCAGATCTGTCTGCCGTTTCCATTATTAGCCGCCGCGTCGTCATTTGTTAGGCAATGGAGATTAGAGCTTCGTTTACATGGTTTGACTTTACTTGAGCGAAAGTACGAATAGAGATCCTGAGTGCCAGAGTATTGTTGTTTTTTCTGGTATTTTTTGATCATAAATTCAAGCCACGACTTTACATATGTTTTCTTGAATCTTTGTCGTTTGCCTTTATTTATGTTTTGCATCCAGATAGATGAAGAGTTCTCGTCTTCCGTTGCCACGGAGTTCAGGTTGGTATGACTATATATGTTGTTGTAAGCCCAATTATTCCATATATTACTTGCTCTAAGTACTTCTAAAACTTTTGATTTTATTTCTTGTCCGACAATAACAACGTAGTTAAACAAATCAGTAACGTCCCTTATATCCGCATTATTCGTCAAAGATTGAAGAAAAGACAAAACATTTCTTTGGAACTGATTTAAACCGACATCATGACTTGCAAAACCGTATTGTCGATTTTTTTTGGAATTTAAAGTGTTGTTGAGGATGGGGTAACAAGATGAACCGAAATTCGTTTGAACATTTTCGTCAAAATAATTTGCATTGGAAGAATAATTGGCGTTTGAAGACGTAGTCTGGCACGATGTTGGACCGCTAGACATCTTACACTGGCCCTGAACCCCAAACCTTTGCAAATAAACATTTTGACTGATATGCGATTGGTTCGAATCCGCGAGATTTATGCTGTTCGGAGTTTCAGCATTAATAACGCTTTTCGATTCGTCAAATTCATTAGAATAATTCTGCTCGTATATCTTGATAATGTTTTTAATGAGTTTTTCAAATATTGCATCACCTCCCAAACGCAGCCGCATTAGATGAATTTTTTGTCGATGATAACTAATTTGCTGGAGCTGATTGTCAATCAACCATCGGCCTACATTTTTTATATCTGAATGTAGCACTACAACGATGCCCGCGTACGCAATCTTGTATTTAGTTCGAGACTGTAACCTAAGAGGATTTGACATGAAATTGCAAACGAGTTCGTGAAACACACTAACTATCTTTAAAACTTACTGTCTGATGACCATAAATCTATTGCTATATTAAAATGGCTCTAGTAC